AAAAAAGGTCGAGAAGGGAGAGGGTTGACATGTCATGGGGTTGTTAACCAATGTCATAAAACAATATGTGTACTGACTGTTTAATGAGAAACTATATTCTGTAAACCTTCACCTGAAGTACAATTAAAAAAAAAAAGAAAGAGAGAGAGAGAAAAAAAGAAAACCTTATAAAGCACAGTTCTACTCTGACCACATGGGGTCACCGAAACTGGGAATTGACTCTACAGCAAATGGTTCAATAGGTCCCTGTCCCACTCCCCCTCTGTGTCTTCTCTAGCTCCTCCTCCTCTCTCCCCTTCCGTTTAGAGTTTCCTCTGTCTCCAGCCAGATACCTCGTGCCCCTGAAGCCTTGACTCCAACAGATATGTATCAGAAGCTCTTCCATAAAAGGACAGTGTGTTCCATCAGAAGAATTTAAATGAATAAATTTTTCACTGCCCCATGTAAAAAAAGAAAGAAACTCCAATGAAAATATCACATACAAAAACCCCAGATGTTTTCAAAGTGGCAAGAGCTGAACATTCGTGGCCTAAACTGCATTTATTAGAAAACCAGAAACATTGACAAGCAAATTATGTTTTAAATAAGCTATTACAAAAAGAAAACAAGTTAATCTACTCCCTCAAAAAAAAAAGTTGAAGTAGATTATTAGCAAAGACAATGCATATAGAAAAAAAAGAAAGCAGAATTTAATTGAACCTCAAACAGAAAAGAAAAGTAGTTGATCAATAAAACCAAAAGGTGATCCTTTGAAAAGAAGCAATCTGATTTATGCCTCGGATGTCTGGGAGGCCTCAGGAACTGGAGGTGCCGTTACTTCAGTAGACAGGGCTAGGAGGTGACAGTCAAAACTGGGCACAGTGGGGCTGTCAACAAGAGGCATTACTTCCACAGAGCTCCTCATCCGTTTTCAGTCTCATTCTTATATGTGAATAGACATTTGGTGAACACTCGAGGAAAACTTGGTTAACAGACAAATAATAAGGCAGGAATTGGGAAGAACACGTAGAAGAACCTTGGAAGAAAGGAAACTAAGGAACAAAACCAAAACCCTTTACTTATCGTCCTCATGACTATGAGAGGAGCTATTAGATTCATTAAAAAGACCAGGATGCTGTTAAAAAAAGAAACAACAATAAAGAACTTTTGGAAATGAAAAATGTGATGATAGAAATTTAAAAATTACTAGAAGGAGTAATCACCACCCGTCTGTCAGTTTGTTGCATGGAGGTGGCTTGCGGGTTACTCTGATGCTGCAAGCTATATATACCACTGGTATTTCAAATACCAGCAGGCTCACCATGGAGGATAGGTTTCTCCAGAGCTTCCAGACCAAGACAAACTAGGAAAAAAGGCCTGGCACTCTACTTTTGAAAATTAGCCACTGAAAACCTTAAGGATCACAACAGGCTATGGTTTGATACCGTGCTGGAAGATGAGCCCCCTAGGTTGGAAGGTGCTCAGAATACGCAGTGGCTGCAACGACGAACTCAAACATACCAGCTATTGTGAAGATGGTGCAGGACTGGGCAGTGTTTCGTTCTGTTGTACACGGGGTCGCCATAAGTTGGAGCTGACTTGATGGCAATTAACAGCAACAAGGAGTGAAAGACAGAGCTGAGAAAACTTCATAAAAGGTAGAATCCAGAGAAAAAGAGATGAAAGGTTGCCAGTTGTAACATAATGATAATGGTGACTGTTGATTAACCCCAAACTGTGACTCGACAATGCATGAAGCGTCCCGCTCCAGTCTAAGGGTAACGCCCCCACTGGGGCACTCCTTCCCATCACCTCTCCTCGATTCAGAGACATTTGCTCCTGAAATCATCCTCTCTCTCTCATGGCTCACCAATTTTTTCTTTTTTACTGGAATGTTCCTTGAAACACACAGGCATGTGTAACTATCACCCATTTAAAAATCTCCCTACACCCCACTCCCCCATTTCTAGCAAAATCCCTTGAAACTGTTTTCTATATTCATTAACTCCATCTCTCAATCTCTCTTGAACCCATTCAAGTCGGATGCCTCCCAATCCATTGAGCCCCGTGGGTTGATGTCTTTACCCATCTCCATGTTGTCAGAGGAAACCCTCCACCTAATAAAACACAACCAATTCTTCAAAAAATTAGAAATCACAAGAAACAAACAAAAACCTACTAAAAATGACAGAGTTGTCATGGAGGAAAAGTGGGAGGCAATCATTATGAACTCAAAGTAAAAAACTAAAGAGATGAAAACATCAGGAGGCAGATGAAAGCTATAAAGGATGAAGTTGCTACCATTTTGGGGGATAGTTTTAACCCAAAATTGAAAAAGAACATTTTCAGAGATATTAGAGAGGGAACTTTCCCTGAAATAAAGGTAGAATGGTGTCCGCAGATGTAAAGAACATGAAAAGCGTGTTTAACAGTCTGATGGTGCTCGTGGAATTCATCTGCAACCTATGTTACTTTATTTATTTTTTAACAATGAGAATGCATCTATTTTTAAAAAAATGAATACCATAGTAAGTCTAAAAGCAGCTGGGTTTCCTACCAGCTGTCCTGTTGTGGTTTGAAACCCCCAATTTCCTCATTAGGTATTCTTTTATTTTAATACCTTGCACGCCGAGTGCTTGTCCCTCCAACTCAAGCAGCAACATTACCCGAGAGAAGGGAAGAAGGAAGCAAGATACAGACTTACATGGCACTGAGATGACCATTCCCACCTGTCATTGTCTGCCCTGGCACTGCTGGGCGTTGGAGCTGGCCCAGCTCTCAGCCTGCGTCCAGTATGGCTGCCAAGCCTGATCAGGAAGTCTGAGGGCTCCGCCCAAGTGGGGAAAAGTAAAGTGAAAGTACTTACTCAGATGCGTGATGGATGATGGGCTGTACAGACAGTATCTCCCTCTTCCTCTAACTCCAGGGCAGTTCTGGGTTTCATGGAATTTGGCAGCAGGGACCCAGGGGAAGGACTCACCTCCCAGGCCCCGAGGACCAGGGAAAGGGCATCCCCGGAGGGGAGCCCGGGCCAGCTCCAAGCAGCCCACTTGTTTGTGCAAAAACAGGCAAAAAAATCTGTTTGAACCAAAAGTGTCCATAGCTGCTTCTGCCTCCTGAGTGTGGCTAGTGTGTAAGTCCATGGGGGCCACCCTCTGGGGGTCCGTCACTGTTGCCCCTTCCCCTTGCCAAGATGGCTGTGTGGGAAAGAAGAGAAAGCCAGAAATATCGCTCCTTCTCTGGCCCATGGGCTGCCCTACACATTGGTGAGACCCAACTTGGCAACTTAGTGGCCGGCGTTTGGATGCAGGGCAAGGGAGAGCCGAAATGCCTTGTGTTATCTATCACGCGGGGAAGAGGGCCTTCCCGTTTTCAGAAAGCAGCCTGGGCAACAGAGAGAATTCTCCTAGCCCTGGTGCCAGAGACTAGAGCTGAGCTGGTGACCGTGGTTAACATGTTCAGTGCAAAGTTTTAAGGTGTTCCCCAAATATGGGCAGCTTCACAACTGTGGAGGAGTGATGAGGAGACATCGGAGCGTCAAACAAGCCCCCGAGATGTTGCCGAGGGAAAGGCTTCTCATTGGATGGGATGGAGGTTGGAACCCAGATGACCTAGATGTTGAAAGGCAGGGTGACCCCCTCTGGGAGGGTGACTTCTGCCTAGGAGTTTTATCCGTGCACAGATTTTTCTTTCATATTCTGTCATCCTTCCACAAAGGAGAAGAGACCTAGAGGGCCACTCCACGACAGTATAAAACTGAAAGTGAAGGGAAGGGGGGCAAAGGGAACATGAGGTTGGGGCCATAAGACCCAATCAGGGACCAGAGGTTTGCTCAGAACCGTGCAGCAGGGACAAGGTGGTGGGAGCCAGGGGTGTGTGGAATCCAGGGCCAGAGATGGGGCAGAGGATGGAAGCAGGAAGTAGATGAGGACTCCGGAGCCACAGCAGACAGCGCTCTAGAGCAAAATTTTCCAGATCATGTTCCACTGAATCCTATCTCTTCAGGCTGATTTCTACATGGGAGTGAGTCCTTGGAAAGGGGGATGGGAAGAGACACCAGAGCAGAAGAGGAAGGGGTTAAAAGGTGAGGGGCTGTGGCAAGTGAGGAAGAGAAGGGAGCATTGGGGACACAAGAAGTCCATGCAGGCCACCTTCTGACGGTCTGGGGACCATCCAGGAGAAAGGCCTCCAAGGACGCCCACATTCCTTGCACAGCTTGAGGAGGAAGGAGGCTGGCTGCTCAGGGCCCCCCAACCCAACTCAGCTCCATCACCCATAGCCCTTCAGTTTAAGCCTGGGATCAACCTCAGGGAAGGATGGGTAATGTGGCATCCAGAATTGGACAAGGACAGACATCCCCCTGTGTGCTCGTTAGTGGTGGTCAGCACCCCACCCCTGGAGACCCACTGATTTCACCTTGTGCATCTTCCCCATGACCATCCACCCAGCCAGCGAGGCCAGCCATGGACACATCCTGTGGGACTCAAGCAAGGAAGGAGCCCGTTACTTCCATGACATTTCTCACTTATCAAGTGAAAGCTTCTTTTAGATTTGCATGTTAACACCCATTCCCATCACCACCAAGTCAGAACCTCTTTCTTGACTTACTCCAGCAAAGTCTACATCTCCCTCTATTGGTAAAGGCTGGTATCACAGTCTCCTTAGACCTGCGTTCTGTTGCGTTTGGGGAAATAGAATGCAAAAATCTTTCTTCTTAAGCTTACAAACATCCAAACACCTCAAAATTAGTAGTAGGGGTGCCATTATTTCTTTCTAAATTAAAGTGATCTGAACGAAGGGTTGGCTTCTGAGATAATTTCGATATTTAGCTGTTCATGGGCACACAAACAAGCTCGTGGCCTGTACACAGAAATCTTGGTTCAAATTCTGAAGGAGGCGCTGTGACTTGGCCCCTTTCACCCTCTTTAGAACTGGCTGTCTTTCCAACCACCAGAGATCTTCCTTCTGCCCAGGGCCCCAGGGGTGACCTGCTTTCTGCACCCTCCTCCAAGCTAAACCTCCTTGCAAGGAGGGTCCTAGACCCAGGGCTGACCATAGCTGCAGATAATCTCCACGGCCGTCCAGGCACAAGGGCTTTACTCCATCACAAGTAATTTTAAGCATTTAAAAATATTAAACAAACTGCAAAAATTGATGGCATTGAATGAATGTTTAAACGCTTTCGTTACCAAGTTTTTATTTTTTTAAATTGTTTTGATGGCATGTGTTTTCGGTATTGGAATGCACGCTTACTAATTGAATGTGTTTAAATTTTTGGTTGGTAATATGGATTTTGAGAAATATGATCTGGTAATACAAGCCACTAATAAGGCGAGTGGCACTCTGGCGCCACTGATCTATGGGATGACAATACACCAGTAAGAACTAAATAGAGAATTTATTGCGGGCACCTTTCCATTAGGAGGAGACCTGGTAGCACAGTGGTTAAGAGCTTGGCTGCTAACCAAAAGGTCAGCAGTTCAAATTCACCAGCTGCTCCTTGGAAACTCTATGGGGTTCTACTCTGTCCTATAGGGTTGCTATGAGTTAGAACCGACTTGACAGCAATGGGTTCGGCTGGTTTGCGTACAAGTGAGAGTTTGGCCTAGTAGGAAACACAATGAAGGTGAGTTCAGGTCCTAGACACAGATTCTGAGGCCATGAGGGGCCTCCCAGGGAAGTCATACACCCTGGTTTATACTGAGCGAGCTGGAGAACCTGCCCCCCTTCCCAATCTCCCCACCAGAAGGCGCTCCTCTCCAACACAGCAGACCAGGGTGCTTATTGATGACCAGAGGAGCCACACCAGGAGGTTCAGACTGAGGGGTCCTTACAAAGAGCCTTGAGACCTCACAGTGATAAGAGGTATCTGTGGATGGTAAGAGGTCCAGGTCCTCTTGCAGCTCCTGGGGACACAGCCTCACTCCCTCCAGGGTCAGAACAGAGCCTGGCGCCCAGCATTGCAGCAAACACCCCGCCTCTCTGAGTCCAGGTAAACTGTACTGACAGGTCTTAGTCCCCGTCCTTTGCCCTTGGCTGTCTATTTATTGCTCATAGGGCCAGGTACTTTCTAAGTGCACAAACATATATTAACTCATTAATCCTCACAATAATCCAGTGAGCTGTGTACTCCTAGTATCTCCATTCTACAGGTGAAACTAATGCATGGGCACACAAGTAATCTGCACAAGGACATACAGCCAGTAAGTGGAGGACCTGGGTTTCCACCTACATGGGCCAACTTCAGAGGCTGTGCCCTTAAACAACAGGCTACGCTGCTGCCCAGTTCAAATCAGTACTTCTTTGTTGTTGTTGTTAGGTGCCATCAAGTCGGTTCTGACTCATAGCAACCCTATGTACAACAGAACAAAATACTGTCCAGTCCTGTGCTATCTTCACAATCATTGTTATGCTTGAGCTCATTGTTGCAGCCACTGTGTCCATCCATCTTGTTGAGTGTCTTCCTCTTTCTCGCTGACCCTCTACTTTACCAAGCATGATGTCCTTCTCCAAGGACTGATCCCTCCTGATAAGACGTCCAAAGTAAGTGAGATGTAGTCTCGCCATCCTTCTTTCTAAGGAGCTTTCTGGTTGTACTTCTTCCAGTACTTCTTATGACACCAAAAAAATAACCAAAAAGAACAAACTGCAGTTGAGGCTTGATGAAAAATGAACACTATGATAGGGATGATATAGAGTTGTTTATTGACACGTAACAATGTCCAAAATATATTAAAAATTGAAAACATTGGTTATAGCACATTTTGTTTATCAAGATAGCACACATACACACACTATAAAGACCAGAATCATTTCTTCAAATTGTCAGCCATGGTTATTCTTCTTACCTGGAGAAGCCTACCAAGCATTGTACTTCTTTCTTGGTGGTAGGAGGTACAAGGTGGAATAGCTTAGCCTTTACTTTGGAGGAACTCTCTTGACATGACTCAGACCACTGAACCCCTAAAAACTTCACCTATATGGCAGGATTGTAAGATTTATTTCCCAATGTCTGGAGTGCATATGATTTAACAAGGTATTCAGAATAACTTGACACTTCTTGCCTATTTGGACTAATTAACATACGTTGTATTGTTGTTAGGTATCATTGAGTCAATTTCAACTTCTAAAGACTCCATGTGACAGAGTAGAACTGCCCCCATAGGTTTTCTAGGCTGCAATCTGTAATCTTTACAGGAACAGATCACCAGGTCTTTCTCCCACGGAGTTGCTGCGTAGGTTCAAACGGTGAACCTTTCAGTAAGCAGCCAAGCAATTAACATATAGTCATCACTATATTGGACCAACGTATTGTAGAAGGTCCAAGCAGTCTTCATTTAACCAGGATGGCATGGATAGCTCTATCTCCCAACAAGGGGCAGGGGGACACTTCTGTAGGACCAGTGGGTTCAGGGGAATCTGGAGGCCAAGGTTCTCATTTGCATCAACCCAGATATCCCTGTTCCAAGTTTCAGGGCCCTGCTCCTTCTTTATCAGGGCCTGACTTTGGCATAAGAGACCACCCTAACCTTAGAATTCAGTCTTCTCTGAAGTTCTTCCATTCTGAAAATTTGGACCTGTGCCAGGCCTTTCTTACTGTTTGCCTTCTGGCTATAGGTCCAGAAGTCTGTTTAAGTGCTGCTCAGGAAGGCCTTTGACGGTTGCTCTTAATAGGTCTCAGGCCAAAGATGAAGAGATTGAAGATTTTTACCAACTTCAACAGTCTGAAATTGATTAACATGCAATCAAGATGCATTGATAATTACTGTTGATTGGAATGCAAAAGTTGGAAAAAAAGAAAAAGTATCAATATTTGAAAAATATGGCCTTGGTGATAGAAACAATGCCAGAGATCGCATGACAGACCGAATGCGGAAATTATCAAACTATATCATTAATATCACACACAAGTAAAATTTTGACGAAGATCATTCAAAAACGATTGCAGCAGTACATCAACAGGGAACTGCCAGAAATTCAAGCCGGGCTCAGAAGAGGACGTGGAACGAGGAATATCATTGCTGATGTCAGATAGATCTTGGCTGAAACCAGAGAATACCAGGAAGATGTTTACTTGTGTTTTGACTATGCAAAAGCATTTGACTGTGTGGATCATAATAAACTATTATGAAGAATGGCAATTCCAAAACACTTTATTGTGCTCATGAGAAACCTGTATATAGACTAAGAGGTAGTCGTTCGAACAGAACAAAGGTATAGTGTGTGGTTTAAAATCAGGAAAGGTGTGCATCGTGGTTGTATCTTTTCATCGTACTTATTCAATCTGTATGCAGAACAAATAATCCAAGAAGCTGGACTATATGAAGAAGAATGTAGCATCAGGTTGGAGGAAGACTCATTAAGAACCTGTGTTATGCAGATGACACAAACTTGCTTGCTGAAAGTGAAGAGGACTTGAAGCACTTACTGATGAAGATCCAAGACTACAGCCTTCAGGATGGATTACACCTCAACATGAAGAAAACAAAAATCCTCACAACTGGACCGATAAACAGCATCATGATAAATGGAGAAAAGATTGAAGTTGTCAAGGATTTAATTTTACTTGGATCCACAATCAACATCCATGGAAGCAGCAGTCAAGAAATCAAAAGACGCATTGCATTGGATAAATCTGCTGCAAAAGACCTCTTTAAGGTGTTAAAAAGCAAAGATGTCACCTTGAAGACTAAGGTGAGCCTGACACAAGCCATGGTGTTTTCAGTCACCTCATACGCATGCAAAAGCTGGACAATAAGGAAGACGGAAGAAGAACTGATGCCCTTATACTACGGTGGTGGTGAAGAATACTGAATATACCATGGACTGCCAGAAGAATGAACAAATCTGTCTTAGAAGAAATACAGCCAGAATGCTCCTTAGAAGCAAGGATGGTGAGACTATGTTTCATATACTTTGGACATGTTATCAGGAGCAATCAGTTACTGGAGGAGGACGTCATGCTTGGTAGAGGGTCAACGAAAAAAGAGGAAGACCCTCAACGAGATGGATTGACACGGTGGCTGCAACAATGAGCTCAAACATAGCAACAATTGTGAGGATGGGGCAGGACCAGGCAGTGTTTCGTTCTGTTGTACATGGGATTGCTATGAGTCAGAACTGACTTGACAGCACCTAATGATAACACTGGAGCCCTGGTGGCGTAGTGGTTAAGAGCTCGGCTGCTAACCAAATCAAAAAGTCGCCAGTTCAAATCCACTAGCTGCTCCTTGGAAACCCTATGGGGCAGTTCTACTCTGTCTTATAGGGTCGCTATGAAGTCGGGACCGACTCAACAGCACATAACAACAACAACAACAACATTAATAGATCTAAGCCTGCCATCTACTCTTTCCAACACATCAAAAGCCACATAAATCCAAAGTTCTTACAGTTACTATTTCTCCCTTACTTCTTAAAATGCAAGACGATTGTACCAGCTAGTTATCCCCTTCACCTATAGCTCATCTAATTTACTACAGGTACAATTCTTGGCAATTGTTACTATTATAGCACCCCAGGGACTATCAACAGTCCCCCACCACTGTCTGGCTAGAGAGTGATTCTATTCCAGAATCCCATTCTAAGAGTGTGCTTTCTAGGACCATTTCTGGTACTAACTCTCCTCGGTTGGGTTCCCTAGAAGCAGAGAGTGAGATGAAGTATCTTAAACAAGTGATTTATTATGAGAGTTCTCTCAGATGGGGCAAGAAGAAAGCACAATAGGGTAGCAGGGAAAAGCTAAGCAAGAATGTGGCTGCATCTGGAGACTGAACCAGCCTTATTTCACGGGGTGCACAGGAGCATGGATCACACCACATCACTGGTTCCACCATGAAGCAAGGGGGCATAACCTCCAGATGAAGCTGATTCCCTTTGGCCCAGGGCAGTTCTGGGAGGGGTAGCGTCAGCAGCTGGTCAACACTCAGAGCAGCAGTGGATGGGAAGACCTGCCCAGAAAAGAGCATTTGGCCAGGGCATCTACATTATTCATTACACCAGTGAACTCTTCTCATTTGTTTCCTGAAGAGCAAATACTTCCTTGAAATTCTTCTCAAATTCAGCCTCCAGCCTAAGTCCCATTTGGCCAAAGTCCTTGTACTGAAAAAAATAAAAAAGACAAAAATAATGAAACTTATTGTTAGGGTCCTTAGACACCCTCCAATTCAGAATGATCAGAACCCTCCTGTTAAACACCCTAAGTGTTAACTGAGAGTTACATTAGGTTAACCTCAAACACTCATCGGGCTAAAAGTAACTGCTGTTCTGAGAGTATGAATATTTCCCGTTAACGAGACTGCACTTGAGGCCTATTATTTACTTATTTTAGTGAGAATTATTAAAATAATCTGTTCTCTGTAACAATTCAGGCAGTACAGAAGTATCTAAAATAAAATCTATGGCCTCTTCCTTTTCCCACAGTCACATCGATTCCTCAGGTGAGCCCTGTAACTATAGGGACCATCACTGGAAAGTTCACATGTAACAGAATCTGGGCTTGGAGAGCTCTGAGAAGTCTGATGCAGTGTATTTAGGGGGAGAGAAGAAGCACACTCTGACTTTAAAATCCCATTCTCCTCTCCTTATGTGCAGGAGCAGGATGTCCTCTACTGTCCTCTATGGGCTCCAGTCACCTCTGCAGAGCAGAAGGAGCTCTCAGAGACCCGGGCTTCAGGTTGCAGTGAAACCAGCTGGCTCACTGTCACTTTGCCACAATGAGCTTAGGCCCTGACCTGAAAAAGCCGTTCACTTCCGGAATCCTTGCTTATGTAGGTTTGCTACAGCATAAGGGAAGCTGTGAAGTTCCCAGGTGCCAGAAAAAGGGGACAGAGTGGCTCCATACAAAGGAAAGGAAGTGGAAGCAGGGAAAGCCACCCACCTTGTAGGATGCTCTGTGGTTCTGAAAGATGAGGCGCATGTCCTGCACGAAGCCCCCAACTTGGTGGTAACCCTTCTCATTCAGCCTCTTCTTGATTTTGTTCAACCACATGGGTTCCTTTAGGACCTGAGAATCTTCTCTATTCTGGGGACAAAAATGCCAAAGGTAGCACTATTAGCATAGTTCAGTGTCTACCTTCTAAGGATTCCCATCAAATCCAACTAAAATACCACAAGGTAAAGACAATGGCAGTTCGCTCTCTCACTCCCATGGGATTCAGCTCATAAATCCCACCAATGACAGTTTCAAGGACATGTGACCCACCAGTGGTCAGTAATCATGGCTTGTTGTTGTTGTTACTTACATAATAATAATATGGGATGTTGGCAAAAAAGGAGCTCTCTGAACAGCAATAGACCTTCAAAAGGAGGAACTCACATTTCTGCAAAAGGAGGAGGTTATAAACGAAAAGCAGCTTGGAAGAATGAGCCTGACCCATGCCCAGACAGAACCCATGACTCAAACCAGTCATCCAGAAGGCTCCCCAAGCATGCGTGGCTCTTGGAAATGGACAAGTAATGGCTTGAAAACAAGGCTTGTTGTTAAAACCATGTGATTGAGGCATGGCTTAGAAGAACATACTCCCTTTGGGTGCTTTGCATGGTTGTGCTTCTCACGTGTGAAGGGAAAGGAGAAGGCTTGGGGCTTGCAGTTGACTCACCAACTGTTCCTCAGGCAACATCTCCCTCTCCAGGATCTCAGCCTCCTGTTGACACTGTTCGTTTCCTGAAGAATCCTTCATCTTGCAGAAGATGCAGCTCCATGGGGTCCTGGGAGATCAGGCATAAAATGAGCAAGGGGCAAGTCCCCATGTCTGCCACTGGGCAATAGGCTCAGCAGTGGACTGACACCTCTTAGAGAATTTAGACCCCCATGTGCGGCCTCATGCCAATGACCCCCTCCTTTGGTGGTAGTACCAGGGGTGTCAGCCCGCAGTGGGTGGTGTCACGGTGAGTGATGGTCTCTTCTTTCCCTGTCTAAGCTGCTGGGTGCACAAGGATCCCTGCCTGCAAGGCCTGAGTTAACAGAAAGTGGACATTAACCCCTGGAGGACTTGGGCCTTCATCTACCTAACGGGACCAGGGTGAAATACAGGCGCTGGGTGATGCTTCCTGAGTTTTCTGAATAAGCACAGAACACAAACAACAGGACTTTTCTGTCCCAAATCTTTTGGACAAGAGTCCACGCTGCAAAATGTCTAGGAAAGGACAATAACAGGATGAAGGCAAAGGGGCCCAGTTACTGTCTTCAGAGTCACAGAGGAGGTGTCTTTGATACACAAAGAGCAGTAAGCTCTTGAGCCAGCCCCATTAAACAGCTCTGGATCACACTTCTGGATCCCAGTACCCTAGGATCCTGCTCCTTCCCCATCTAGACACAAGCAGGAACTCTGCAACGTGAGTGTTCACAGCAGGAGGAGGGGTCCCTATTAAGAGGGGAGGGAACGGGGACTGCGTCTTACTAACCTCTCAACTTCCACAGGTGGGATGTGACATTCCTCATGATAGGATCTCGAACAAGTGTCACAGCAGAACAGCTTTCCCCTTTTCCGGCATACCTCACAGTCATCTGAGTTTCCCGGCTGGAATGTGAAATAATGCCCACATCACTGAGATTGGCAAAGCCTCGAAGGCCAACACAGTGGGAATCTAAAATACATTGCCTTTGCATGCACAGCATGGACACGTACATGCTTCTCCCTGAGACATGAAGGAACAACACTGGAGATTCCAGAGAAGACATTCTGGTCTGCAGTGAAGTTTAGGAGGAGGGGTCTGTGTGTCAGACCAGAAAAGGTCTGCTTATAGAACCAGAGATCCTAACACGGAATGATAAACAGCAACATAAGATGAGAACTGTATATGGCTCTGAATAATGTTATTTACCCTGCAGATAAAATAGTATCCTGAAATAACCTGTTACATCCATTGGCCTATAGCACAATGACTAAATTGGCTCATGGAAGAGTGATTTACTGAGAATTTAATATGATGGATTAAATTTCTTAGGAAGCACTACTTTCTGTTCATTATATGAAAACAGAGTTTACAGACCAATTATAAAGAGAGCGATACATAGACACTATTTATGCCAAAAACCTGGTCAGTGACCAGGCATTTGGGTGCAAGGGAGGCCCCAGTGGTTTAGTTCATGATAATTAGTATTAACATGTGGATCAGCAAATATCTGAGTGACAAGTGTGCAGGTACTGCTTTCCTGGTCCACCTTCTGTGATCGAGTGGAGACAGCTTAAGAACAACTGGTGGGTAGCTCTAACCCCAGATAGAAACACGTTGTCTATGTCACAGTTGTTGGAGAAGTTTCTACCTCTTGTGACTATCTTGGGAACCCGATATGAGACAGACTCGGAGACTGACCCACTCACTGATGAGCAGTGGGTGAAAGGAAACTGGAAAGTTGAGGAGCAGAAGGTGGCAGGGATGACAGTGCCCACCATTCTCTGCCATGGACTATTCTTCTCCAAACACATCTGGTTCTATGCCATCACTCCCTGGGTTTACTCTATCAGCTTTGCTGCTGTATGTTTCCTTTCTGGGTCTTCCTCCCCCATACAAACTTCAAAGGACAAAATTCCTCAGGTTTCTGTCCTTAACTCCTTAACTCCCCCATATGATCAGAGTCACTCTCGTAGCTTCAGTTACATCTTTATGTCTACAGCTCCCGGATGTTCAGCTTCTCCTCTGCATTCATGCACCTCCCTATGTCCACCCAACATCTCCTCTTGGACTCTTGAAGCACACCTCCAACTTATCCTGTGAAAATTTAACGTGTCCCTCTGTTGGTTAGGGAGTTAGTACTTACATAAGGGTCAACTAAGTCATTGTTGTGAGGCTCCAATCTTTTCTGTTGAAAAGAGAGAATGGTTGAGTGACAACGTTGAATGTGATTGTTGCATCCACCATTTATCTGAACACCCATCTCTTCAAGGGATTCAAGCCAGTCTATTCTTTATTCCATATCTGTTTTTATAGACCTCTGTATCTATTACCCATTGTCCTTGAGTCAATTCCAACCCATAGCGACCCTATAGGACAGAGCTGAACTGCCCCATAGGGTTTCCAAGCAGCAGCTGGTGGATTCGAACTCTTGGTTAGCAGTCGAGCTCTTAATCACTGTGCCACCAGGGCTCCATGTATCTACTGGAAGAATAAACAGTGCCAAAGTATCACAGTTTAGCCCAATGCAAGTTCCATCCCCTGCTCTATATGGTTTCATACTGTCCCAGGCTGAACTGTCTACTAGACTGAGGTAATCTGAATGTGAGGAAACTTTAGCAGCATCACATTTCATTAAAGTTAGAAAACAGTAACGTTAGTGAAAAAATATGGGTTCAAGATGATCCTATCACATTATCTTGGAATGCTTTTAGGTATTCCATAATCATGCTTGCTTTCCCAACTTTGACACCCTTATGACATTTGCTTTTGTTGCTAAAACACATCCATGATGTTTATTTTGATGGCTTATCACCATCTCCATCTCAAACGGTTTAACATCCAAAGAACACCTGGCCTTATATGTAACATAGTTCAAAGTAATAACTCTGAAGACACACACCAAAAACAGAAAAAGAAAAGGAGCTTAATATTGCCAAATTGAGAAACCATAAAATAAATTTTGTACATGTAAAATCAGTTATATGATGAGAACTTGTATAAAGTTATGTAATAATCACCTTTTTTCTCCTGTGATATGTTCTTGGAGGATCAGGTAGAAACTCTTCCTGATAGACAAAAAGATCCCAGTATGTGGTTAGTCTTTGTTTCTGCTTTGTGAGTCTGGCATTTCCGACCTCCTCCCAAATATTTTTACCTGTGTGACCCACTGCCAGCTCAAACCCGAGGTGTCTACATGAGAAACCATCTCCCTCTCCTCACCGGTTCCTCTACTAGACTTCAACTGATGGTAGCTGGAAAATCATTTCTAGAACGTTTTTCCTTTCCCTTATGCTTCATTCCCAAGTCCTGAACGTTTTTCCTTCACAATCTCTTTTATACCCATCACCTCTTTTCCATTCCCACCAGTGTCACTTTGGCTTGAATCTATATACTAGGGCTATTCAAGCAACGCACACTTTTGCATGGCTACTGGGTGTCAGATACTATGATCATCCTTGCGCATACGAAGATGGATAAACGCTTGATGAGTCTAGAGAGCAAAGTGGATGTATAGATGGATAATGATGAAACAGTGTAAGAAGATTTCTAATAACAGGCTCAGGGAGCCCTGGAAAAGGATGACCAGGGCCAGGTCAGTCAGGGAGTATTCAGAGAGGGTGACACTGGAGGTAAGCATTGTAGGTTGCGTATGGGTTTTGTTGGCAGAAAGACATAAAGTTGTTCCAAGACTCTGTGGCTATCTAATGTTTTAAATACATCATCTCCCTCCTCAGCAGACTTCACTCGTTCTCTGCTGTCTAGATTATGAGTTTAAACTCATAACCCCACTGATAGACCATGCCCTGTTGTACATAACCTATCTACCTAAGCCTACAGAGCCAACCTGATCTTGGCTCTGGTTTTCATGCTGTCAACTCTTCTTTCTTTTAGTGCATAAAGTTGTCTGCATGCACCCAAGTCAGGATGACTTTCCCTCCTCTGAGCTTCCGTATCTTTTCTTGAGGGGGTCCTCTTACAATATTGATGTGCTGGACTATACTATGGTTATGAATGTGGGGTCCCTCTGTTCCAAATGAGGGGAGAAACTCAGGGAATCAGGGCTTTAGCTATAATGCAACAAATATTTGGTAAGTAAATGTGACCTTTTTATTAGGATATAAGGCAGGGCACAACTTCTGCCCCTTGTCACTGGAATACCTTTATCAGCCACCGTAGGGGCCGTCCTCCACAGCGCACACTCATCTTCCAATTCTTTGATCTTGTATAACCTCCTTGGATTTCAAATTCCCTGGGGGTGAACCAGTTTCCATCCTCATGCTGTATACACTTTTCCGAGACTCCTGTAAGACGAGGGTAAGTCGATCCTGAGATCTTTGTCCCCAGAGCTCAGACTGGGGCTCCCATCACAATGGATCTGGAGTCAACCAATTTGGGCTCAAGATCAATAGCAGGAGGGTCTGTCCTCCCCTCTTAGACTTACAGGGACCCAAACCTATCCTGAAATTCCCCTCAAAGCAGATTCCTGCTATGTCTGCACATTTCTTTGACTTCTATGCTTGAAAAAGGTGAAAATTACTACCAAAACAAACCTTTTAAAAGTATTTCAAAATCATTTAGGAGGGAAGACTAGGTGTTTCTAAAGGATGGGAGGATTTCAATTTGCTACTGAATTCTGGGGATAGAGAACCAGCCAGAGTCTCCAGCTGGGCCCGGGGGCTAATGTGAAGGCAGAATCCAGAATTGCCTTTTGGGTTATATGACTAAGATCTTAGGTGGATGCCCTGAAGCTCAGAATGTCACCATAGAAACATCTGCATCCTCTGCTATATTACTTTTCATTCAGTTTGTTGTCAGTATCGAGCAGAGATTTTCCCATCCATGATTTCATGGATAAAAACCATTGCTGTCTAGTCAATGCCGACTCATAGTGACCCTGTAGGATATAGTAGAATTGCGCCATAGGTTTTCCAAGGCTGTAATCTTTATGGAAGCTCACTGCCACGTCTTTGTCTTGTGGAACGGCCGGTGGGTTTGAACAGTCAACCTTTTGGTTAGCAGCTGAGCGCTTAACCACTGCATTACCAGGGCTCCTTGATTTCATGGGTAGCCAATATTAAATAATTATGAAATGTTATCCAGCAGAAAAGTTAACATACATAAAAGACACTCATATGCTGAGTATCATTAGTCATTAGAGAAATGCAAATCAAAACCACAATAAGATACCACTTCACATCCACTAAGATGGTCATAATCATGGAGACAGACAATAACAAACGTTGGTGAGGATGTGGAGAAACTGGAACCCTCATTCACTGCCCGTGGGAATGTAAAGTGGTGCAGCCACTGTGGAAAACAGTTTGGTAGTTCCTCAAAAAACAATTAAACAGTTATTATATAATCCAGCAATTTCACTCCTAGGTATGTACCCAAGGGGAAGTGAAAACATATGTTCCACAAAAACTCGTACATGTACGTTTATCACAGCACTATTCATAATAGCCAAAAAGTGGTAACAACCCAAATGTCCTTCAACTGATGAAAGGACAAACAAATGTGGTATTATCCATACAATGGAATATTATATTATTTGGCAAGAAAAAGGGATGGAATACTGATTCATGCCACATAACATGGATGAACCTTGAAATCATCATGCTAAGTGAAAGAAGCAAGTCACAAAAGATCATATATTATATGATTCCATTTATATCAAATGTTCAGAATAGGCAAATCTGTACAGAAGAAAATAGATTAGTTGTTGCTTCAGGCTGGCAGACAGGGTGAGGTGGGAATGGGGATTGATTGCTAATGGGCATGGTTTTTTTTTTTTTTTAACAGGAGACAAAAATGTTCTAAAAGTAGATTGTAACGATGGTTGTACAACCCTGTGAGTATGTACAAAAACTAATAAATTGTATACTTTAAAGTGGGCAAATTATAGGGTACGTAAATTATCTCTTAATAAAGCTGTTTCAAAAAAAGATGGATGTGTAGAAATTGGAACCCTCATCCATTGCTGGTGGGACAGTAAAATGGTACGACCACTGTGGAAAGCAATTTGGAGGTTCGTCAAAACATTAAACATAAAATTATCATGCAACCCAGCAATTCTGCTCCTAGGTATATACCCAAAAGAATTGCAACCAAGAATACAAACAGATGCATGTACACCAATATTCACTGCAATACTATTCACAATAGCCAAAAGGTGGAAACAACCCAAGTGCCTATCAACAGATGAATGGGTAAACAAAATGTGACACATACATACAATGGAATATTACTCTGCTGTAAAGAGAAATGAAACCCTGATATGTGCTACAACATGGATGAACCTTGAAAACATTATGCTGAGTCACAAAAGGACAAATATTTTATGATCTCATTTATATGAAATATATAGAATAGGCAAACATATATGGAAACTAAAGTCTGTTAATGGTTACTAGGGGTGGGAGAGAGGGAGAAAGGAGGAGTCATTGCTTGGGGGGCATTAAGGGTGATGGAAAATGGTGATGGTTGCACAGCATGATGAACGTAATAAATTTCACTGAGTTGTACATGTAAAAATGCAGATATGGCAAATTTTTGGTTATATACATATACACATACCCATACTATACACACACACACATATATATACACATATATACATATATACACACACATATATATACAGGCGGTCCCTGGCTTACGAATGAGTTCCGTTCCTAAGTCTGTCTTTAAATCGAATTTGTACATAAGTCGGAACAGTTAGGTACGATTAACATCTAACATCAGTTAGTTAAATGTTTGTCTTAGTATATAGTATAGAGTGTACCTGTCTATGCATAAAAACATTGAAGAAACACTTCCAGATGCACTAAAACATCTTTAACATAATAATACATTAATAATAATGTTTCGATGTAGTTGAGAAGTAGCTCCCGTTTCTTGGTACAAATCATTGCGTCATTGTTAGGTGCCACCAAGTCAGTTCCGAATCATAGCAACCCTGTGTACAACAGAATGATTGTTGCTATGTTTGAGGCCATTGTTGCAGCCACTGTGAAGACCCATCTTGTTGAGTAAGGGTCTTCCTCTTTTTCGATGACCCTCTACTTTACCTAGCATGATAACCTTCTCCAGGGACTGGTCCCTCTTGATAACATTTTCAAAGTACATGAGACAAAGTCTCACCATCCTTGCGTCTAAGGAGCATTCTGGCTGTACTTCTTCCAAGATAGATTTTTTGTTTCTTCTGGCAGCCCATAGTATATTCAATATTCTTCGCCAACACCATAATTCAAAGGTATCAATTCTTCAGTCTTCTTTATTCATTGTCCAGCTTTCACATGCATATAAGGCAATTGAAAATACCATGGATTGGGTCAGGCGCACCTTAGTCCTCAAGGTGACATCTTGCTTTTTAACACTTTAAAGAGGTCTTTTGCAGCAGAACAAACTATTGCATGATCCTCAAATTTTTAACATAGTAGGCTTTACGGGGGTTGGTTTGTAACTATAAATTGTACGTAAGTCAGACTTTTGTAACCTGGGGACTGCCTGTATACATTCACCACAATTAAAAAAAAAAAAAAAAGGCAGTCATAGGGCAAACATTTATTAATGTCCAAACAGCCATATTAAGGAAGAGAGGTCTTAGATAAAGTCCATTATAACAGATACTTTTAGAAAAGTTTTAGAATTTTCAAACACAAAACATTTCCCATCAATATGTATATTAATTCTCATATCTACACCATGAGGTAGGCTTTTAGTTATTATGTATTCTTTTCTAGATGAGTAATTTCAGGCCAAGAGAAGTCCCTTTCTCTATCCAGAAAGAAACAGTAATTCTTGGAATAGCCGAGGCTGAGACTCAGACTTTCTTATTTTAAATACTGTGATCTCACTACATAAAGCACCAGTTGTGGTGGCGATCATCCAGAGGGGACAGAGGTTATAAAGGTGGAGGTTGAGGGCCTCTTCCCTTCTCTGTCTGATTCAGAGTAAAATCGGTGACATTTTCCATCTATGGATTGAAGTTCCTGCACTTGTCTTTGGTTCTCTGGGCATCCCATGGGTACTTCCATGTGGGAGTATGCACGTAATAGGTGGGATTTTTTAAAGTGTGAAAATGTTACCTTAGGGATCCCTTCCTCCTTTTCTGAAACCAAACTTGGGGCCCAATTCCTTTAACACTGTGAAGTTCACATGGGTAATTGCTTTACTTCTGTGATTCCTTCAGATAGGAGCTGCAAATTACAAAAGACCGTGGAACCCACCTTGTTCCAATTTCTTCTTACATAATGTCCCCTTCACCTTACCACAGGTCACAGGAAGGAAAGGAGAGTGAAAATCCACAGTTTCATCTGCGTGCTTTCTTGAACCTAAAAAAGAAGATTTATTCATTCTGTTTCATTTTACAATTGTACACACCTCTGTCCTCTCCTGTTGAGGTCATTCCTATAAAGACATAATGATTCTTAGGAAGCTTGGTTCCACCAATCTCGAGTCACAAAATCTTTCTTCCTAGTGGCATTTATGATACATAACCACAGAATGTCTTCCCCAATTCCACTTCCCAAATCTCACAGAGAACAGAATGCTTTAGCCGAGAAATCAGCTTCAATAAAACTCTCTTAACTCCTAATCTCTTTGACCCCATTGATTCCTACATGACAATGAAAGACAGCTGCTGTCACCGTTGTAAAGGGAGCGTTCCAGCTAGACTATCTTACTGCAGATAGATAGATAGAGACAATGTCAGAGACTGTTCTTGTATCTCCCCATTTGAGCACCGACTAGACTCTCCGTTTGAGCAGGAGAACGATCGGACAAAGGAGATGGCGTCTAGTACCTACCTTCTCTTTTTGTTCTCCACTTTATTTCTCCTTTACCTCTGCTTTGTCTATGGCGGAAAAAGGGGCTCAGGGAGCTCTAGAATCATCATCAAATTGCACAGGGAGTGGGGTACTTAGGACCCAATTTCAGGGACAGAGTGAGAGTAAAAGGTCTCACTCCTGGAGGACAAGCAACTGCCCCTGCCCTTTCAGTCAAAGTTGCAGAGGCTGCGCTTTCTTGTCATGATGGTGGAAGGAGAGCTCTCCATGGTCCTGAGATCAGTTTTCAGGTAGACAGAGTATTAGAACTGGGATTGGCAGAGAAGTACTCTTGGTTTTATTCCCCCCCTTCCTTTACAGATGAGGAAACTGACACAAAAGAATTCAAGTGATGGGTCCAAGCCCACTCAAAGAGGAAGTTTTAGGACATAAACCCGACTATTACTCTGGGCAACCCTTGGCGTGCAACCTGTGGTTCTCTGTGTAGCAAGAGGCAGGTCAGCTAAACAACTTGTAGGTCATACCTTTACATGGCAACGGACTATTTCCTGCCTCAAAGTTATCAGCTCAGTGGAGGCAGCCCTACTGTGGCCCCTGGACACTGGGGTCTGGCTGCAGATCCATCACCAAGTTACTTGCCTGTGGTACTATCATCTTTCTCTTCCCGACACGTTGTCAAAATTCACTAAACTTGATACATTTCTCAGCAGTTAGTACAGCTACATATAGCAGTTAAGGAAATGGATTTATTACTAAAAATCAGAGTAAAGCACAGAAATTTATGTGTTTAGCTACTGAAAGTGTGTTTGTCTTTTCTTCTTTACCTCTTGGTCGGCCTCTTTTTAGTGGGGCTTTATTTCTCTGAGTTAAATGTTTCCTAGGTCTGCCTCTCTTTCTCCCTGAGTAAATACAAAAATATAAACATAGTCACAGATGAGCATTGAAAATAATAGTGTTTTTCAAAAATTCCATTTAAATATAACTTACCAAGAGCCTATCTAATAAATAAAGAAAAATATATAATTCCTAGCCTTTAAGCTACCAAGATGTTGATAGCTAACCTTAGGTTCATCCTAGAGTTCATTTTATAAATCTTCACATAAGTCTAAAAGAAAAAAGTGAACAACTAAAATCAGAACTTCCCTTATATCTCAAACAGCAGTGTTTTAGGTGTCTAATATATGCGAAACACTTGCAAACCTGCTAACTTATTTAATCTTTGCAGCAAACATATGAGATAGGGATAATGATCACCCTCATTCCAGAAACTCAAGCATTCAGAGAAAATTCAGACAAAAACTACAAAATTAAGTGAAGGCCTCACAGGTTTCCTTCAGTAGAGAGAAATACATGGGTGCTCTGTGGGTTAAATTCCACACATCTGTCAGTTTGTCTTACTGTGGGGGCTTGCATGTTGCTGTGATGCTGGAAGCTATGCCACTAATATTCAAATACCAGCAGGGTCACCCATGGTGGACACGTTTCAGCTGAGCTTCCAAACTAAGACAGTCTAGGAACAAGGACCTGGCAGTCTACTTCCAAAAAAAATTAGCCAGTGAAAACCTTATGAATAGCACGAGAACATTATCTGATACAGTGCTGTACGATGAGCCTCTCAGGTTGGAAGGCACTCAAAAGATGACTGGGGAAGAGCTGCCTCCTCAAAGTAGAGTTGACCTTAATGATGTGGATGGAGTCAAGCTTTCGGGACCTTCATTTGTTGATGTGGCATGACTCAAAATGAGAAGAAACAGCTGCAAACATCCATTAATAATAGGAAAGTGGACTGTACGAAGTGTGAATCTAGGAAAATTGGAAGTCGTCAAAAATGAAACGGAATGCATAAACATCAATATCCTAGGCCTTAGCGAGCTGAAATGGACTGGTATTGGCCATTTTTGAATTGAACAATCATATGGTCTACTATGCTGGGAATGACAATTGAAGAAGAATAGCACTGCATTCATTGTCAAAAAGAACATTCATCATCAAAAAGAACATTTCAAGATCTATCCTGAAGTACAACGCTGTCAGTGATAGGATAATATCCATATGCCTAAAAGGAAAACTAGTTAATAGAACTATTATTCAAACTTATGCACTAACCACTAAGGCCAAAGATGAAGAAACTGAAGATTGATACCAACGTCTGCAGTCTGAAATTGATCAAACATGCAATCAAGATGCATTGATAATTACTGGCGATTGAAATGTGAAAGTCCGAAACAAAGTAAGATTGGTAGTTGGAAAAGATGGCCTTGGTGATAGAAATGATGCCGGAGATCCCATGATAGAATTTTGTGAGACCAATGACTTCTTCATTGCAAATAACTTTTCTCACCAACATAAACGGCAACTATACATGTGAACCTTGCCAGATGGAATACACAAGAATCAAATTGACTACATCTGTGGAAAGAGACGATGGAAAAGCTCAGTATCATCAGTCACAACCAGGCCAGGGGCCAACTGTGGAACAGCCATCAATTGCTCATAGGCAAGTTCAAGTTGAAGCTGAAGAAAATTAGAACAAGTCCACCACAGCCAAAGTACGACCTTGAGTATATCCCACCTGAATTTAGAGACTATTTCAAGAATAGATTTGACACATTGAATACTAATGACTGAAGACAAGTTGTGGAATGACATTAAAAACTTCATACATGAAGAAAGCAAGAGATCATTAAAAAGACAGGAAGGAAAGAAAAGACCAAAACGGATGTCAGAAGAGACTCTGAAACTTGCTCTTGAACGTCCAGTAGCTAAAGTGAAAGGAAGAAATGATGAAGTAAAAGAGCCGAACAAAAGATTTCAAAGGGCAGCTTGAGAAGACAAAGTAAAGTATTATAATGACATTGCAAAGACCTGGAGTTAGAAAACCAAAAGGGAAGAACATACTTCACATTTCTAAAACTGAAAGAACTGAAGAAAAAACTCAAGCCTCGAGTTGCAATAGTGAAGGATTCTATGGGGAAAATATTAAACGATGAAGGAAGCATCAAAAGAAGATGGAAGGAGTACACGGGGTCACTATACCAAAAAGAATTGCTTGACATTCAACCATTTCAGGAGGTAGCATATGATCAGGAACTGATGGTACTGAAGGAAGAAGTCCAAGCTGCACTGAAGACACTGGCAAAAAACAAGGCTCGGGAATTGACGAAAAATCAACTGAGATGTTTCAACAAATGGATACAGCGCTGGAAGTGCTCACTTGTCTATGCCAAGAAATTTGGAAGACAGCTACCTGGCCAACCGGCTGAAAGAGATCTATATATATGCCTATTCCCATGACAGGTGATCCAACAGAATGATTATCAAACAATATCATTAATATTACACACAAGTAAAATTTTGCTGAAGGTCATTCAAAAGCAGTTGCAGCAGTACATTGACAGGGAACTGTCAGAAATTCAAGCCAGATGCACAAGACGGCGTGGAATGAGGGATATCATTGCTGATGTCAGATGGATCCTGGCTGAAAGCAGAGAATACCAGAAAGATGTTTACCTGCGTTTTATTGACTATGCAAAGGCATTTGACTGTGTGGATCATAACAAATTATGGATAATATTGTGAAGAATGGGAATTCCAGAACACTTAATTGTGTTCATGAGGAATCTGTACATAGATCAAGAGGCAATTGTCCAAACAGAACAAGGGGATACTGTGTGGTTTAAAGTCAGGAAAGTCAGGGTTGTATCCTTTCACTATATTTATTCCATCTGTACGCTGAGCAAATAATCCAATAAACTGGACTATATGAAGAAGAATGAGACATCAGGATTGGAGGAAGACTCGTTAACAACCTGCGTTACTCATATGACACAAGCTTGCTTGCTGAAAGTGAAGAGGACTTGAAGCACTTACTGATGTAGATCCAAGACTACAGCCTTCAGTATGGATTACAGCTCAACATAAAGAAAACACAAATCCTCACAACTGGACCAATAAACAATATCATGATAAATGGAGAAAAGATTGAAGTTGTCAAGAATTTCATTTTATCTGGATCCACAATCAACACCCTTGGAAGCCGCAGTCAAGAAATCAAATGAGGCATTGCACTGGGCAAATCTGCTGCAAAAGACCTCTTTAAAGTGTTCAAAAGCAAATATGTCACTTTAAGGACTAAAATGCACCTGACCCAATCCATAGTGTTTTCAATCGCCTCATACGCATGTGAAAGCTGGACAATGAATAAAGACCACGGCAGAATTGATGGCTTTGAATAATGGTGTTGGTGGAAGAATATGGACTATACCATGGACTGCCAAAAAAATGAACAAATCTGTCTTGGAAGAAGTACAGCCAGAATGTTCCTTATAAGTGAGGATGGTGAGATTTTGTCTCACATACTTTGGACATGTTATCAGGAGGGACCAGTCCCTGGAGAAGGACATCATGCTTGGTAAAGTAGAGGGTCAGTGTAAAAAAGGAAGATCCTTAATGAGATGGGTTGACACAGTGGCTGCAACAATGGGCTCAAACATAGCAATGGTTGTAAAGATGGTGCAGGACCAGGCAGTGTTTTGTTCTGTTGTACATAGGGTTGCGATGAGTCGGAACCAGTTCAACAGCATCCAACAAACCTAATAATTGGACTTTAAAATATGATTGTGTAGATTTACTAATTCAAAATTGGCAATAATTTAGAAAATGAGTTTTAGACCTCATTGTCTAGACAAAAGTAGTTCCTTAGACAGTTACTAACATAAAAGATTTCAGGGATCTGATTAAAAATAATTCATTCTAATTATAGGAGATTTAGAAAATAAAAATTGTATGAAATAACACCACCCAGAGATAAACACAATTGCTGAAAAATATTTTCATAGTCTTTTCTCTTTACATATGTTACTTTTTAAATAACATTATAAAAGTTGAACATGTAAATATCTGAATATACACATTGTCATGGATTGAATTATGTCTCCCACAAAAAGCGTGCATCAATTTGGCTGGGCTATGGTTCCCAGTATTGTGTGGTTGTCCTCCATTTTGTGATTGTAATTTTATGTTAAAGAGAATTAGGGTGGGATTATAACACTCTTACTAAAGTCACTTCCTTGATCCAACATAAAGGGAGTTTCCCTGGGCTGTGGTCTGTACCACCTTTTATCTTTCAAGAGATAAAAGGAAAAAGAAGAAAGCAGAGAGTTGGGGACCTCATACCACCAAGAAAGCAGTGCCGGGAGCAGAGCGCGTTCTTTGGACCTGGGGTCCCTGAGCGGAGCAGCTCCTAGTCTGGGGGAAAATTGATGAAAAGGACAACAGAGAAAGCCTTCCCCTGGAGATGATGTCCTGAATTTGGACTTTTAGCCTACTTTACTGTGAAGAAATGAATTTCTCTTTGGTAAAGCCATTCACTTGTGGTATTTCTGTTATAGCAGCACTAGATAGCTAAGACACACATACACATTAAAAAATCACAAACAAAAATATAAACATCACCTATATTTTAATGACCAAATGTAACTACTGGATATATTTTAATGGATGAAATTCTAGTGATTTTTTAATACATCTATATTGATCTCTCTTTACATACAGATAAATATATATGTATAGATGATTTATAGATATATAAAAACATATTTCTATAAACACGCCTATTTTCTTTCATAAACCATACATATTTACAAGTAAGGCCCCAATCTGCACATATTATATCACAGTCTACTTTCTTCATTTAGCTTTCTTTGGAACGTCTTTCTAAATAAATAAATATTCTCTTGGATCTAGCAAAGAATGCCACTATTAGAAGAAACAAGGATAAGACACACAGAAAACAAACAGTAAAATGGCAGAAGTTAAGTCCTTCCTCATCAGTAATTACTTTAAATGAAAATGGATTAAACTCTCCAATTAAAGGGCAGAGATGGACAAAATTGTTAAAAAAAAATTATTCAACTATATGCTGTCTACAAGAGTCCCACATTAGATCCAAAGACACAAATAGGTTGAAAGTGAGAGGATGGAAAAAAATACTCCATGCTAATAGTAACAAAAATAGAGCTGGTGTGGCTACATTATATATCAGACAGAAGAGACTTTAAGTCAAAAACTATTATAAGAAACAAAGAAGGATATTACATAATGATAAAAGGGTCAATTCATTAAGAAGAGATAACAATTTTAAAAATATATACACCTAACAACAGGGCCCCCAAATATATGAAGCTAACCTTGACAGAATTGAAGGAGGAAATAGACAATTCTACAATAGTCGTTGGAGACTTTACTATGCCACTTTCAGTAATGGATAGAACATCTATGCAGAATATCAGTAAAGAGATAGAGGACTTGAGCAACACTATAAAGGAACTAGACTTGACAGACATATACAGAGCACTATACCCAACAGCAGCAGAATACACATTCTTCTCCAGTGTGTAAGTCTCAATAAATTAAAAAAGACTGAAATCATCACGAAGTATCTTCTCCAACCACAACAAAATAAAACTAAAAATCAATAAATGAGGGAAAAATGGAATTTACAAATATGTGGAAATTAAACAACACACTATTAAACAACCAATGGGTCAAAGAAGAAATCACAAGGGAAATTAGAAAATACATAGAAATAAATGAAAATGAAAGCCCTACATACCAAAACTCATGGGATGCAGGGAGGTGAAAGACATGCATAGTGAAAATTATAAAACTTTGCTGAAAGAAATTAAGGAAGATCTAAGTAAATGGAATGACATCTTATGCTCATGGATTGGAAGACTTAATATTGTTAAGATGCCAATAGTAACCAAAGCTATATACAGATTTAACACAATCCTTTTCAAAATTCCACAGCCTTCTTTGTAGAAATGGAAAAGCCAATCCTCAAATTCATGTTACTGAAAGGGGCCTCAAATAGTCAAATAATCTTGAAAAACAAGAACAAAGTAGAAGGACTCACACTTCTTTATTTCAAAATGTGCTACAGGCATACCTCAGAGACATTGCGGGTTCAGTTCCAGAACACTGCAATAAAGCGAGTATCGCAATAAAACGAGTCACATGAATTTTTTGGTTTCCCAGTGCATACAGAAGTTATGTTTACACTAAACTGTGGTCTATTAAGTGTGCAATAGCATATGTCTAAAAAAAATGATCATACCTTAATTAAAAAATACTTAATTGCTGAAAAATGCTAACCATCATCTGAACCTTCAGCGAGTTGTAATCTTTTTACTGGTGGAGGGCAATGGAGAGTGAACAAAAGCAAGCACAAACTAGAGGAGAGTCAACACTTACAAGAAGGAAGTGGCACTGGGTGATGTTCCCATTTTTGTGCCTTCGAGTCTGAGGGCAGGCCCCAGTCTGCACCATATGTGGCAGCTAAAACTCCAGTGGAAAATGTGCAGTGTTACTGATTTGAAGAAATTGGGGACCAAGTATGGGACAACCACAGCTTCTAGAAAGTTAGGGGCAAAATCTTGGGAAGGAGTAAACCAGAGTGAGAGAGCCCTGAAGTATCTTGTTGACCCTGGACCCATATGTGCATGGGGTAGTCTTCAAGTGGTTCAGCTAAGGCTGGAAGAAAAGAGCTGTGACTGAGCTGCCACCAATTACAGGAGGCTTTGAATTTGTTGTTAGAGTTCAGCCAGGTTAACTTCCTGGTTAAAAAAAATGATGGAAGATGATGGCTATGTTCTGTGTCATGATAGTGGTGGCATTTACATGACTGTACACCTTTGTCAAAACTTACTCAGTTATACACTTAAAAGTGGTGAATTTATTGTATGGAAACTGTATCTCAATAAATCTGACAACAAAAATAAAAATGTGTAAGACTTATATAAAGAAATCTCTAAAACTTTGTTGAAGAACATAAAAGGTGACCTGAATAAATAGTTCATTCTCCTTGTAAAAATCCCAACTCTTCCTAAATTAATCTGCAAATTTAATGTACTTCCAATCAAAGCCCCAATGTATATCATAGGAATTTATTCCATTAGACAAGAGGTTCCTCCATTTATCTTTCCTAAGTTAGCACATTTTTGGCATCTGCTGAAATGGCTGAAGGATCTATGAGTCATACTCTTAATTTCCTCAAAGAACCTTTTGCGTGTCTGTATACTCTGACTTTTTATTTCTTCCAAGGAACTAGCAAAAAAGTTTCACAACCACATTCTTGGTCTTTTCTCCAGAGCATGCTTTCCTGAGAGAAAATCTCCTACTTTTAGCATCTTTTGCAATCTGGATAGACTGAACATTTTCTAAATCGTCAAGTCCTGATAATCTGGTACCTTACATGGCAGAGGGAACTTTGAGCATGCGATTTAGTTAAAGACTTTGTGATAAGGACATTATCCTGGATCATCTGGGTGTGCCAAATCTAATCACAGACCTTAAAAGTGGAGAACTTTCCCAGTTGCAGACAGAGATTTGACTATGGAAGAATGGTCAGAGAGATGCAATGTTGTTGACTTTGAAGATGGAGGAAGGAGGCCATGAGCCAAGTAATGTGAGTGGCCTCTAAAAACTAGTTTTAACGGGAATAAAATCCAAGAGGAAAGAGATAAATCTCTCTTTAACTAAATCACACGCTCAAAGTTCCCTCTGCCATGTAAGGTACCAGATCAAAGGCTTCAGGGATTAGGATGTTGCATTGGGCTGAATAGTGTCCCCCCAAAATTCAAGTCTATGCAAAACTTCAGAATGTGACTTTATTTGGAATCAGGCCCTTTGCCGATGTGATCAAGTTAAGATGAGGTCATATTGGATTGGGGTGAGCCCTAATCCAATGCCTGGTGTCGTTATAAGAAGAGGGAAATATGACCACAGACACACACAGAAGGAAGACAGTAGTGTGGAGATGGAGGCAAAGACTGTAGCTATGCTGCCACAAGCCAAGGAACGCTAAGGATTGCCAACAGTCACCAGAAGGTAGAAGAAGCAAGGAAGGATTCTTCCCTAGAGGCTTCAGGGAGAGCATGGCCCTGCTGACACCTTGATTTTGGATCTCCAGCTTCCAGAACTATGCGAGAATAAATATCTGTTGCTTTAAGCCACCCAGTTTGTGGTAATTTGTTACAGCATCCCTAGGAAATTAATACAGACGTGGACATCTTTGGGGAGGCCATTATTCTGCCTACCACAGTATGTTGTTGCGTGCCATTGAGTTGATTCTGACTCATAGAGACCCAATGGGACAGAGTAGAACTGCCCTAGTTTCCTAGGCTGTACTCTTTATGACAGCAGATTGCCAAGTCTTTTCTTTTGCAAAGCCACTGGTGGAATCTAACTGCTGACCTTTAGGTTAGCAGCAAGTGCTTAACCACTGCGCCACCAGGACTCCTTTAGCATACCCATTGAAAAAACCCACTGCCATTGAGTTGATTCCGACTCATAGCAACCCTACAGGACAGAGCAGAACTGCCCCATAGGGTTTCCAAGGAGCGGCTGGTGGATTTGAACTGCCAACCTTTTGGTTAACAGCTGTAGCACTTAACCACTGGGCCACCAGGGCTGCTCCTTTAGCATAGCATAATAGATAATAATGAAACTTTGGCATGAAAAATACTCATTTGTAACACCAAAATCAAGAAAGTTCTTATTCACTCTTACTTCTTTTCCACTTCTGTCTTCCCAAAGTAGAGTTGTTTCCATTATCCACAGTATCTAGAAAATAGGAGGTGGTGGTGAGGGAGCCGCAATTTATAAATAGTCATCACAAATCTTAGGTCAATTCATATCGCAGAAGGCTTGAATCTATAAAGATATTTGGATTATCATTTCTCTCTTCCTTCTAAAGAAACCAAAAACCTACTGAATTAAGATGTAAGAGTCTAGGACAGACACTGGGTCTTCCTTTATTTCCCAATGGGACTTTGAAAAATGACTCTTAAATACTTACATACTCCAGTTTCCTCAGGGATTGGAACAGTTATCCTGTCTGGATCTTAACATTTTTGTGAAGATTAAATAAGATCTTATATACAAAAGTTTATAGGAAATCACTACATAAACCAATGACATGGTGGAGGGCATCCATCAAAACTATGGAAGAACAGTTGATCTGAGGTCTTCCCTCCTGACAATTAAGTAGCAGAGCGAGTTGTTATTTGAGGTCTTTGTGAGATTGTGACAAAGTGACACTATTACATTCTGCTTTCTTGGCTCCATGGAAGATTAGGGGTGAAAGAAGTGGAAATCACTGTATAAATCCAAGGCTTTATTATTAATATGCTAATTAGCAAACAAGATGCTGCCATTTTTACATCATCCACATATAATCAACAAGGACCATCCTGTTAAACATGATTTTATAAAGATTTCTTGCCTCCCTGCAGTTCCCGAAAGGATCAGCTCAAGCAAATAGAGAGAACGGGATTCTGGGGTAGACTGGACCATTTGCCACCACCCAACCTGGGTCTATGGTACCTGCTGAGCTACCCCCATCCCAAGACCCTTGGGCAGCCTTTACCCATCATGTCAGATGTTTGCCTACTTTCAGTCTTTCCTTCCTAAGCTCCTGGCACACCTTTTGAGAAACACATGATGATTGAACTCTTCCCATTTCCATTTACTGGTAGCTCCGCTGCTAGGCCAAAACTGCAACTTATGAAGACTTCATTTGTCCATCAGTGATCCCCCTTTTCCTAATTCTTCCTCTAAAGTCTGTAGTTCCAAGTTTAAAATTCTTGAAAGAAATGAAGAGTAAATGTCTATCAGACATTTGGATAAAGGTCTTCGACCCATGGATAAAAGTGCTCTGAAGATAAGTCTGGGGTAGAGGTTTGTGCATGGGAATCACTGGAATATTCAGGAAGAGGCCTATTACAATCTGAGTGTTTTGCAAATGCCATTTTGATAACTGGGGACACTTTAATCTGTTCACAGTTAATGGAAGCCAATCCTGAGGCAAAAGTTGCTTCTATCCAGTGCCTCTTAACCCAAACCTACAACATCCCAATCTGTTTCTCTCGACCTTTTATCATCTTTTCACACTCAACCAATTTCCATCCATTCTCTTTTAACTCTTTGACTACATACTTGCCTTTGCATCTCTCCTGTATTTTCCTCCTTTCTTGGTATTTATTTTCCTTTCCATATACTTTTCTCTACATTATTCTCTGATCTTTGGCAAATTCTTCAGTTATTCTTTTTCTGCTGTGTCTTATACTTACTCCCTTTCATCTCTGATTCTCCCATTTTACCTGGACCTTCTGTATCTCTCTACTGTTTCAATTCTTGTGTACTGTTGTCCTCCAGCTTTCTTTCTCTCACCGTCTCCAAAATACTCTTCTTGGACTTTGATCATAGTACCAACAGCGTTCAACTGGCCAGCTCTGTAATGAAGGTTTTCCCCGTGAACCTGACATAGCATGTTATTTCCAAGTTCCTCTTAATCGTTGAGAAACTAATTAAAATTATCCCCCACATCCCAACCTGGGAGAGCAGTATTTTCTTTTCATTTAGGAAAACTGGATTCATTCATGTAATTTGTCATTTTCTGCTCTCAGTCTACTTTTTCCATTCTCTTTTCTTATATTCTCTACCCAAGGATACTCTGTCTATGCAGAATCTCAGATCTCCTTTTCTCATTGTCTCTCTCACACCTATGGGCAGGTAAGAATAGGTACATGTCTATGTGATGGGAGAAGCAGTAGTTGGGAGTTAGCAGAGCACTAGACTAGAAGACAAAACGTAGAATTTGCCTCCAGGAAGACAAGAGAACAAAGACTGAATGGGGTGACTGGTAGGTTACATGATAGTTACTTCTATCATATGGTAGTAAGCTGGGTATATCTTCTAACCCTGTGATATTATTCATTTGGGGGTGGTGAGGGTTCACAGGAAACAGGGTACAGCAACAAGACAATGCCACACTCAGACAGTGACCAGACACAGACTTCGGTGTGCTCAAGCTCAACTCATGTTCAGAGCGGCAAGGACCACACCTAAGGTCCAAAAGAGACTTGTTCTGCCTCTTTTTTGAGATGCACCTATCTTAATGTAAAACGTCTGGGTAACCTACATTCAGTCACGATTGGGAATCATCCTAGAAAGTACTTTTGTGCTGTCAGTCTCCACCCACTATAGATAACCAATGTTCTGATTTCTATCACTAAGTCCTTCCTTTCTGATACTGTACTTGCCTGTACTGGTACTCATATAAATAGGTCTTGCAGTATGTACTCGTATGATGGGCCTGTTTTGCTTAACATAATATTTTGAGATTCATTCATGTTATTACACGTACCAGTAGTTTCATCCCTTTTATTGCTGACTAGTATTCCACTGCGTGAATATATCACAGCTTGTTTATCCACTCTCCTGTTGATGGACATTTCAGTTGTTTGCAGATTTTAACTATTATGAATAAAATTGCTATAAACATTCCTATCCAAATCTTTGCGTGAACGTATGCTTTCATTTCTCTCCAGTAGGTACCTAGGAATGGAATTGCTTAGTCATACGTTAGGTTTAACTTTATAAGAGATTGCTGGTTTTTCAAAGTGGTTGTAAGAGACTTCCGGTTTTCCAAAGTGGTCACACCGTTTTGCATTCCTCCCAGCCATGGATGGAGTTCCAATTGCTCCATATTCTCACCAATATGCTGTTGTCAGTTTTTTTTTAATTTTAGCCATGCTACTGGGTGAATGATATCTCATCGTGGTTTTAATTTGCTTCTTGCTGATAATTAATGATGCTGGTCACTTTGTTTATGTTCTTGGCAGACGTAGCAGTCTGATTCTATAGTCCAGGGTTTGTTTAGTTCTTTTTCTGTTTTTTTAAATTGGTTTATCTTTTTATTATTCATCTGTAGCAGTTCTTCAGACATTTCGGGTACAATTCTTTGTCAGATATGTGTATTGCAAGCCAGTTTATGGGTTGCTTTTTCCTTTTCTTAATGTGTCTTTGGATAAGCAGAAGTTTCTAACTTTGATGTAGCTCAGTTCACCAAGTTTTTCTCTTATGATCCATGATTTTTGTCTGATATAAGAAATGTCTGCCTAACCCAAGTTTGCAAAGATATCGTTTGTTTTCTTCTAGACGCTTTAGAGTTTTAGCCTTAAATTTTACATTTGGGAGCCAACCTGAATTATTTTTTGTGGACGGTGTGAAGCAGGAGTGGAAATTTATTTTGTCCATATGTTGTCTGGCCTCTTTTTCAGTCTTTTTACAACTCCAGCTACTTCTCTCCACTTCTCGAGTTTCTATCCGTCATCCTGTTCCCATTGCTTCCTCCACCCTAGGAAGGTAATTGTGCGCCCTTGACGCTGAGGGCTTCTTTCTCCCTGGCTTCTCCTGTCACCTCCTGTTTCTGTCTCTCTCTTCCCCCGTGGTGCTCTCAGGTCTCTCCCTTTTGTCTCTCTGGTTTTTACCTTCCGGCTCTTTCCCTCTGTGCCTATTTGACCCCTCGTGTCCTACTCCTTCTCTTTGTGGTCTCTCCTCTCCCCCAACAGAAACCAAACACTCCATAGTAAACAAATGTGTCTTTTCATCAGGCACTGGCCCTTTCCTCTGCTCTCATTCATCTGAACTTTGAAATTGAAGCACAAACCTTGCCCCTCCCTGTACTGCTACAGTTGTTTACAGTCAGTCATCCAGCAAGTAATGGACTCTCAGCCAGCTTTACCTGCTTGTTCAGGTTCTGGAGCACATTCAGTTGTTTCTCGAGTTCTCAATGCATCATTTTGGCCACTCAGTGAATCTTTTTTCCTTATATTCATCTTCTCCCCATCATCCAGATGCTCTGGGATTCCAGCTTCTGGTAGGGTTTGCCCTAGATCACATGAAATTATAAAGAATTTACTTCTTCCAACCTTTCCACTGACTCCATTCCATTACTCCTACCTTCCATAGCTGAATCACTGCATAAAAGTTTTATATTTTTTGTCCTTTTAGTGTACATTTTATACTTTTAACAATTAGCCATTATTCAGAACAATAATTGTGATTATTAAAATGGATTAAAATTTTACATAAATATGTTAAATTAAAAATATTTAATTTCTTAACTACAAATCCAATTCAAGGATACATATTAATACCATTTCACAAGGCTGGTTGTATTCTTGTGGTTTTTCTTACACTGGTCATTTCCAAGGAAAAAGTACTAAGCATTTAACAAATAAATAAAATTTATTGTAGCCTATTTGGTTTTAAGGATAGATGACCTTTCTTGGGCTTGAAGGTCTTTTTCTGTCACTGCTACTCTAGTCTGGGGAATAATTTTCTCTACAGTGTGTGTCTGAAGAGAAAAAAATCTCAAAATTTAGAGCAGTGATTAGATGCCTTGTCTTTAGAGTCAGATACACATTCTAATAATAATAGTAAACAAGTTTATAAGTTATTTTGTGCCACAAATTATTCTAAGTGCTTTACATAAATTAAGTCCTTTAATTCTCACAACAATCTTATATTTATAGCTGTAAAAACTAAGACACAAAAGAAATTAAATAACTTACCTATGTAAGTAGGAGCTCTGGTGGCACTGTGGTTAAAGCATTTGGCTGCCAACTGAAAGGTTGGCAGTTTGAACCTACCAGACACTCCACAGGAGAAAGATACAGCAGTCTGATTCCATAAAGATTTGAAGCCTTGGAAACTCTATGGGGCAGTTCCACTCTGTCCTATAGAGTCAGTATGAGTCGGAATCGACTCAACAGCAGCAGGTTTGGTTTTTGGTTTTGACCCAAGTTAAGTGAGCAGTAGAGCCAAGCTTTGTACCCAGGCAGTGAGGCTTCAGCATCCAAGCTCTTAACTGGTGTGGATGAGAGGGTCTGTGTCACAGCTAACCCAATTCCTAGTTGTGGAACCTTGCACAAATCACTAAATATCCCATGCCTCAGTTTCTTCTACTGAAAAATGGGGATAACAAAAGTCTTATCACAGGGTTGTTATGAGGTTTAAATGAGGTGTTACATGTAAAGGAATATCTGTGTTGTAGTAACTTAGCAAAAAATCATAATTATAAGTGCTAATGTCTTAAGTGTTATAATTTAATAATTGTTAGTAATAATATGAATGCAGGGATGACTGAAAAAATCTAGAAACAGTAGTTATTGGTTGCAAAAGTTATAGTTCATATGTGAGCATTAAGAGTTGATCCATGTAAAGTGGATCCATGTAAAGTCAATGAATGTTAGGTATTATTACTATCATCATTGTTAGTGTTATTACTTTCCTTTATTCTTTCCTCCCCTGTCTCTAACTTCCTTCTTCCTCTCATTCTACAAAGCACTCCTCCTTCCACATTCTCTCCTACATGTAATTGGTACTCACTCTCTCACATTATAAGTAACTGCCTTTCCTTCTGAATGATTCTTATCTAAACCAAAGTCTTCCACATTTACAATGGTCCCTTCTTCTGACATCCCAAAGGTATCCTCTTTGGGCTTTTCACATAACCCTCACTTCTTTCCAACTCCATTGAACTCCTAACTTGGAATTACTGCAGTCACTGCTTCCCCTTAATTCTAGCTCATGGTCACCCTGAAGTTTTCTCTCTTGAGTTCATGTTCCAGCTTCTTGGTTGTCATATCTGCCTGGTACTCTTGGATTCCATGTCTAGTAAGTTAATTAGGAACCACACAAAACACCACTGCTCTGCCTTCGCTGTCTCCTTTTGCATCCATTCCCCATGGTCACAGTCTCCACTCAGGAGTTCAGTCTCCTGAATTATGATCTCCTTTCCTTTTAGCAGAAGAGAAAACAAGTTTTTGATGAAGTCATAATTACCTTGATCATGGATGAATTGGGTGCTGGCCATCTCCCAGGTATCTTTTCGATCATCTATTTGGATATTATGAATCACTGTAAAGGGGAAGGAAAGGCAATCAGAGATGTCAGAGAGTATAGGGACCGAATCTCATAACTACACATCTAGGAGCATCCTTGACTTCCGGTGCTTCACTGGGGACCTTTCGGCCCTCAAGACACCCTGGGCTTCAGTGGGTCTCATATGGCCTGTGAATCCTATAGCTATTCCACATAGAGATGAACTTCGCAAGATTTAAAACAAGATCGATAGTGGAAAAGTTGTAAATAGTGATTACTTCTCCAAAATCAGAACAGTGAAAACTAATTTCAAAATAAATAATATATGTGGAATGTGTTTTAACAACTGTACATATATCTAGGAAGAGGGAAGACACAGAGAGATTTCTTCAGGAGAAGATTACAATTATGGATAATTCCAAACCAAACCTTTGCTAGCCCATCAATTTCAACTCATGCCTACACTATGTGTTACTGAGCAGAACTGCTCCATAGGGTCCTCTTGGCTATAATCTTTTATGGCCTTTCTCTGATGGTGTTGTTGGGTGGGTTTGAACCACCAACCTTTAGGTTAGTAGTTGAGCACCACCCAGAGACCTTATGAATAATTACCAAACCAAACCCATTGCAGTCGAGTTGATTGCAACTTACAGTGACTCTATAGGACAGAGTAGAACTGCCCCACAGGGTTTCCAAGGCTGTAATCTTTAGGAAGCAGACTGCCACATCTTTCTCCCATGCAGCAGCTTAAACAGCTGATCTTTAGTAGCTGAGTGCTTAACCTCTAAGCCACCAGGGCTCCTCCATGGATAATTAGACCTATGTAAAAAGAGAAAGCCCCCAAACCACTTAAGGGTAGAGTTTAAAAAAAAATTTTTTTTTTGTTGAATTGGATCAGGAAAGATGATCAGGTCACCAAAAGATGTACCAGCGGAGAAGAACCAGGACATCCCTGGGGGTGGGTCTGGTGAGGTAATCTAGGAAACAAATAACAGACCCTTCCTGAAAGGTACAAACAGGAAGTGAATACTGCGTGGTGGTACCAGTGACCTAGAAAGACGGTAACAAGCGGAAGTGCAGGAAACCAGCCCCAGTACTACCGGTTTTAGAGCTGCATTTCAAGATGACTCAGCAAACACAGGTAGGAAAGTGAGACTCACAGGACATGAGAAAGAAGAACACCCAAGAAACCTAGAGAGCCTGGGCAAGAAGGGTAGAGTCGGAGCCGGGCCTCTGTGAGGGCCCACGAGGAAGCACACCTCCTGGGAACCACACCCAGTCAGGGGACTGGGGGGTGGAGGTGGAGAGGATCTAAGGGAAAATAAGACGTGTGGGTCATAGGCCCCGAGATGTAATGGAGACCCTCTGTGGAGGCGTTGCAATGAGCGGTTTTCTCCACCTGACATAAAGGTGCGCGAGGCGCCGCAGGAGAGGGCGGAACGCACCTCCCGTCACCATGACTGCCGGTTGCTAACCCGCAGCTTCCACTTCCGCTTCCGGGTAGCAGGGTGGTCGAGGCTGGAGAGCGTAAGCCAAAGTGGGTCCGGCATCCTCAGCTAAGCTGTCACTTGGTAACTTGGTGGACTGCTGTGTGGACCACTGCAAGGACTCCTAGTGAAAAGGGGCATTGATGCTGCCCTGCTGGTAAGCTGTGTTTCCTTGTCCTATGCCCTTCTAAGTAAAGCTGATGCCAGTGTGGCTCTGGTTGTCTTGAGAGTCAAGATGCCTAGTTAAGCAGGCCTGGTGGATGTTGAATCATAAGCCATTATACTATAAGCTGCAAGAAAGCTCGTGACATATCTGTTTTGTTAACTACTTTGTCCCACTGTCCAACACAGTGCGTAGCTCAGTGAAGAATGGAAAAAACAAACAAACTACCCTTGGATCTCAAAGGTGGTGATAAACCTAATTACCTTCTTCGAAGCTCCTAAAAATGTGAATTAAGTCAGGATATTCCTTCATGTTGACCTTGCTGAACAATGCTTTCAGAAGTGACTGGTTAAACGTCTTCTCCAGTTCATTGAGAACGTTGTACACCACTCTTTGTACAGGAACCAGGTTTCTACAAGACTCTTCAGAATCCTTTAAAAATAGTGAATGGAGAAAATATAAATACCAGTAATATAATACAAGTTCCAAGTTATAGAAGAGCCCTAGAAAGTAATTTTATGGATAATGCACTTTAATTTCCCAAGGTTGGCATCTTCCCATGTAAAGCTTTAAGAATTTCTGCATGTTTGTATGGCTGCTAATATTCAGTTGTAAATCTGATTTTCTCGTTCTCATTTTCATTAGAGGTAAGGAGGAGCAATTTTGAGGAATATAAGTGGGTTCAAAATTAAATGATGTATAGCCCTTCAAGAGCCTGGCCAGGATGTTTTATGAATGGACTTACCAGGTGATGAGTGGTCGTTCTATTCACTGAATAGTCCCTGCCCTCTCCCCTGTATTGACTAAGTCAAGAAGGGCTTCAGGAAGCCAGGTGGCCAGTCTCTCCCTACTGTAAACTTGGCCACAGAAAAAGCACAGAGTGAAGAGAAGACTGCCTCCTCTGTATCTTCAAGAAAGCGTGCTATTAAACTTAGCCCAATTCCAGGACTCTGGATATGCAAGGGGGAAAAAAAATAAGGAAAGAAAACTGAAAACAGTTGGAGAAAAACAAGCATCGACTCCCAAATTAAGAAGACACCAATTTCTTATGGGTTTTAATGTTCTCAGATCCAAGTATTTTAAATTGATGTTAGTTGAAATGAAATGCTTGGCCAAGCCTCTTATTTAAGTTTTAAACTTTAGTTTATGCTTTATTGCATGAATTCCTACAGGATATTGTACGTCCATGGAGCATAGCTGCTTCTGACCCAGCCTATCTCTAGAGTCATTCACCCCCACTCCAGTGGGCATCTTGGAATATACTTCCTTCAGTGAGAAGCAGGAACGTCTCTGGTGATGTCTGTTTCCTCTCAGTTTTTACCTTCCAGGAATATTTATAGAAATACTTGAAAAGATTGCTCCAATCTTAGGTGGACCCTCAGGCAGCTAAATGTGTTCTGAAGTTTGGATCCAGAATATGAAAACATAATGTAGCCTGTGGCTGGTTTACTAGGTTATGGATTTATAAACTTCACTTACTTTTAACAATTTATTGGTGATGAAGCCACGGTCTCGGAGGCCCTCAAGGAAAGGAAATGTCTTATTTATTGCATTTGAAATCTCCACCTTATGTTTTTTGTAGTGACTGAATATGGTCTCATAGACAAGCCTTTTCCCTATGTTCTGTTCTTCAGTGTACATCCTAGGAAAAAAGATATTACATGAAAATGCTTGTCAAGATGCCAAGATACTTGTAGAGGCTGTGAGATTGTCTACATGAATAATAGGCTATGGAGAACAAACATGTAAAATAAGCAGTTCTGACGAGAGAGCAGAATAAATGGTTGAAGGAATAATCAAAGATGTAACAGAAGAAAACATGGAGGTTAAGAAAGACTTATACACAGAGCTGAAAAAGTTTAGTCTGTTCCAATCAAAGCTATTGTAAGGATATCTTTGCCTATTATATCTGGAAAATTTTTTACTTCAAAAAATTTTAAATTCTTATAAAATTGACATGGGATAAATAGGCCATCCACAGCAGAATCAAAACAATGTAATAAAACTGGAATCTAACTCGATGACAACAACAACAACACAACCTTGATAATGAAAGCCTTACTTAACACTAAGAGAAAGTAAATCTCAGAAAATTAAAACAAGATATCTTTTCTCTGATGTTTAGCTTCCAGAAGAGAAATACCATTCAGCATCATAAAACTAGTTCATAAATGATTCAGTGTGATTTGATAATGATATAATAAGGTTTACATTGAGAATTTTACAATACACATAACACTTTTTTATGCCGAGCATCATTCTTAGCAGGAATTTGCATGGTGTCTTTCCTCCGTTCATTCAGATTTCTGATAAAATATTAATCCCTCCCATGATACGTCTTGTCTAAAATATCATCCCCATTGCACTCTGCCTATGTCCTTTACTTTTTTTTGGACATTAAATTATGTATTTATTTGTTCACCTGATTGTTTGATTCCTCACCAGAATCTAATCTCTTTTAGGGTAGGGACTTGATCATCTTTGTTCACCACTATCCCCAGTGTATAACCCAGTGTTTGAAACGTATAAGATGTCATGAAATACTTTTAATGAATAAGTGAAGTATGCAGAGAATATATAAGATAATATGATTAGAATTCTTAGCATAAAGAAGGTATTCTTGTGATCGAACCCTAGAAGGTGGGTCCTTGTCTGGCACACTCAGACTCGCCAATGATCTGGACACCAGTCTTTGAGAAAGAGAAGGTAACTTTATTGCCATACGCAGAGCAAGGAGCCGGGAGGAAGTTCCTCAGATCTGACTTCCTGAGCTGCGGGGAAGCAGGGCTTATATGTGATTTGGGCAGTTAAGATGGCAGCCGTGCAAGTGTACTAGGGAGGGAAAATTCTAGAAGGCAGCCAGGAAACAGGAAGTGACATGGTTTTTGTCAGACCTCTCACTTCGGAATAGGGTTCAGGTGATGATTTTACTTCTGATTCATTCCACCTGTTGCTGCATCTGCTGTTGAGGTCAATTAGTGATCACAGCTGGCCCTTCTGCACATGCTAGGTGGGCCAAATCTGGCTTGGGCTAGTTTAAGGGCTAATGGAAATTTACTGGCATTTATAGGGTCAGGTTACATTCTTATTAAACAAAACACAAGGAGGAGAATACTGATAAATTTGCATATATAAAAATGTTGAAAAATATGGTTTTGGGTTAAAGATGGGAGAATGAAACCGAGTTATAAAATCACCTCTTGCTCAATACCTATACAAAAAAAAAAAAAAATCTATCCAAGAATTCATCAGGAGGTAGGATGGAATAGTTTGAGGCAGACTGAAAATCCAGTCTACAATAAGTAGAAAATCTGGATAAAATAAAATATATTTTGGAAGGTATTAGAGAGCCAGTGGCATCACTGGGGGAGTACAGGGGCTGTGGACCACACCAGGTAACACTGTCAGAGGGGTGACACCAAAATGACTGTCTATAAAATTTTTGTGCAGTGTTTCAGCAGAAATTTATTATTTTTTATAAAACTTATCTCTGTAGCTAGTTATAACAACAAAAAGACTTTTCGTAAGCCCAGCTTACATGTATCAATATACCTACATGGCTAAAACTCTATGCTAATTTACTTTTTGAACCTTCTGATGTGCTCTGGGAGCCTTGGTAGCGCAGTGGTTGAGAGCTCGGCTGCTAACCAAAAAGGTCAGTGGTTAGAATTCACCAGCTGCTCCTTGGAAACCCTATGGGGCAGTTCTACTCTGTCCTATAGGGTCGCTATGAGTCAGAATCGACTTGGACAGCAACAAGTTTAATGTGCTCTCGTCAGAGCTGTCGTTATTACCCAATTACAGTGATACTTCGAATCACATGGTACAGGAGGAAGTTCGTGGGGTGGGGGGAACACCATGAGTTACCACACTGGGTGACACCAAACCTAGTAATGTCACTGTAGAGAGCTAGAGAAGCAACACAGAGGGACTAAGATTCTAGAGACAGGAGACCTTCTCTCAGAGGGAGCTGAGGAGCTGTAGTTGTTCTTTACCTGAGGGGGGTATGCTGATTCTGGGTGTAGAGGCTGAGAATCTGGGTTTAGACAAGGCAGAGGAGTGCCACTGGGGGCCGAGAAAGCAGAGAAGCTTGTGATAGGCATGCAGGACTGGAGTGAAAAAATTGGACACTTGAGGGGCCTCAAACATGCATCCATTTACCCGCTCAAAATATTTGACAGAGTTCTTCGGGACAGGGGTCTAGAGAAGTATGTCAAAAGTCTGAAAAGCAAAATGGAATTACCTGCAGGTTTGGCATACTGAAAAGACGAAGACTCTCTGGTGAAGGATCCTGAGAACACATTACAGGTAGTCCCTGACTTACAATGAAGTTCCTCCTGATTACTCTGTTTGAAGTCGGTTCTGATATTAAGTCGAATACCTCTTTTCTTTTTCTTCATTATTATTGCCTTTTATTATCAGTATCTTTATACATTCGATTGTTGTCTTTGGGGGTTGGAAACATTACACATAAACTTACAGGTATGTTTAATACGTACTGTAAAAATGGCGTGGCTGAGGCGTCTGGCCTCCTCTAACTTCACAAGGGGGAAGGAGAATCAAGATCAACAGCCCAAGGCTGATTTCTATGAGGTGGAGGTCAGATGTGCCTCTTCTCTCCACCATCTTTACCAATTCTGACAGCAGTCGTCCCTCCCGTGGCACTCTCTACTTCTCTGCTGAGTTTGATAATTCGTTGCAGAGGCCGCAGAGAACTCACAGACCATATTCACAGTTACGGGGTTTATTAGGGAAATAACGGTACAATTCGGGTTCAGGAACACTCAGGATACAGTTCTTCCATCAGGACAGCCACTTCTCAGCTGTGCCCGCAGGCACACCTCTCTCTGGTCCGTTGGCCTCTGCCCTGCTCCCACAAGTGTTATAAAGCTCTGCCAATAAGTGCCTGTCATGGTTTGAATTATGTCCCCCCAAAAATGTGTATCAAGTTGGTTGGGCCATGATTCCTAGAATTGTGTGGTTGGCCTCCATTTTGTGGTTGTAATTTTATGTTAAAGAGGATTAGGGGGGGATTGTAACACCACCTTTACCCAGGTCACATCCCTGATCCAATGTAAAGGGAGTTTCCCTGAGGTGTGGCCTGCACCACCTTTTATCTCTTGAGAGAGATTAAAGGAAAGGGAAGCAAGCAGAGAATTGGGGACCTCCTACCATTAAGAAAGCAGTGCCGGGAGCAGAGCGCATCCTTTGTACTGGGGTCTCTGCACGAAGAAGCTCCTAGTCTGGGGGAACATTGATGAGAAGGCCGAGAGAGTGAAAGCCTTCCCCTGGAGCTGACACCTTGAATTGGACTTTAAGGCTACTTTGACTATGAGGAAATAAACTTCTCTTCATTAAAACCATCCACTTGTGGTATTTCTGTTGTAGAAGCACTAGATGACTAAGACAGTGCCCCAGAGGCACCCCACTCCACCAATAAGCCTCAGCCTGAAGTCACTCATCTCTAGCTCTGTGGGCTGGCAAACCTAGCTCCACAGAGGTCCTGGAGACACCCTACTCTGCCAGCAAGCCTGCTGCCTGAAGACACTCAGCTTCTGCTCTCTGTGCACCAGGCCGTCTCCTGCCAGGTCTTCTGGTTCTGCTGCCACCCATTTCTCTGCCACTGTGTCTCATCATCTTCAGTGTTACAGCTCTCTCTCTCAGTCTCCTTGTTCCAGGACCTTCTCAGTGTAGGGATCCCAAATCCAAAGGATGTGCTCTGCCCCTGGCTCTTCTTCCTTGGTGGTGGTGAGATTCTCCCTTCCCAGGTCTGGGATAGCTCATTTTAAGCCTAGTGGAATGATAAAACTGACCAATCCGCTTGGTGGGCCACAATTACCTTATTTGCATAGTCCTACCCAATCACTTGGGTGGAAGTTACATTACCATGGTGAGAAAGGCCACACAAAAGTGATCCATTGCACCGCACACACATATATACATAAAAAAATACACAAATCATAAAAATTTACTCCAACAATGAAGAAGAGTTGGATGACATTGGTATTTTGTCAGTTGTGTTAATAACTCCACTTGTGGAAGGTTCTGGATCATCTGGATTATGCCTGGGAATAGGGATGGCATTTCTAGTCAGAAAATTAGTGAGAGTTGTCTGTAAGGTCCTTTTCTTTTTTTTCTGCATATATTTCACAGTAACATCTCATGGTTGGGTCCATGTTTTCAAGCAAATGAAGCCCCTCATTTAATTTAGAAAGCTAAATCTATACAGCAGTGTTTTGAATAGTAAATAATAAAATTGAACAACTGTGAGTGAACGTCTGAGAATGATAACATCAACAAATTATGTGTTGCAACATTGTATGTAGCTTATATTGCTAATAATAAGACGTACAAAAAGAAAAAACAAAAAATGGATGGTCTTAAGTACAGTTTGTGGTAACTCGAATATGTCGTAAGTCAGAGACTACTTGTACAAAAGCTAAAAGCCCTGAAGTGGGTGGTGATCTGGCTACAGGATCTAGAATCATTTTGTCCCCTGGTAGCACTTGACACTTCTGGACACAGATAGGGGTTGAGAACAGGGCTTGGCCCAGGCAGAGGCTGCAGCTGGAAGTCACAGAAAGTAGCAGAGATTTTGGTGGTCATGTGGGATGAGAGCGCAAAGTTAGAAACTTGTGGTTAGGTGCCATCTAGTTGGTTCCGACTCATAGCAACCCTATGTACAATGGAACAAAACATTGCCCGGTCCTGCACCATCCTCACAATTGTTGCTGTGCTTGAGCCCATCATTGCAGCCACTGTTTCAGTCCATCTCGTTGAGGGTTTTCCTCTTTTTTGCTGAACTTTTGCTTTACCAAGCATGATGTCCTTCTTCAGGGACTGGTCCCTCCTGATAACACGTCCAAAGTACAAGACAGAGTCTCACCATCTTTGCTGTAAGGAGCATTCTGGGTTTATTTCTTCCAAGACAGATTTGTTCATTCTCCTGGCAGTCCATAGTATATTCAACATTCTTCGCCAGCACCATAATTCAAATGCATCCATTCTTCAGTCTTCCTTAGTCATTGTCCAGCTTTTGTATGCATGTATGTGATTGAAAATACCATGATTTGGGTCATGTGCACCTTAGTCCTCAAAGTGACGTCTTTGCTTTTTAACACTTTAAAGAGGTCTTTTGAAGCAGATTTACCCAGTACAATACCTCATTTGATTTCTTAAATGCTGCTTCCTTGGGCGTTGATCGTGGATCCAAGTAAAATGAAATCCTTGACAACTTCAGTCTTTTCTCCATTGATCATGATGTTGCTTATTAGTCCAGTTGTGGGGATTTGGGTTTTCTTTATGTTGAGGTGTAATCCATACTGAAGACTATAGTCTTTGATTTTCATCAGTAAGTGCTTCAAGTCCTCTTCACTTTCAGCAAGCAGGGTTGTGTCATCTGCATAGTGCAGGTTGTTAATGAGTCTTCCTCCAATCCTCACGCCTGATTCTTCTTCATATAGTCCAGCTTCTTGATTATTTGCTCAGCATACAGATTGAATAAGTATGGTGAAAGCATACAGCCCTGATGCACACCTTTCCTGATTTTAAACCACAGAGTATCCCACTGTTCTGTTCGAATGACTGCCTCTTGGTCTGTACACAGGTTCCTCATGAGCACACTTAAGTGTTCTGGAATTCCCATTCTTCTCAATGTTATCCATAATTTATTATGATCCACATAGTCAAATACCTTTGCATAGTCAATGGCATAATAGAAATTTGAGGGAACTAAAAAACTTGGCTGGTTTTCTCTTCAAGAACTTTTCTCATTTCTAAAGCTGTATAAAGTAAGAGACTAAAAATATAAAACAAAATCTTTGAAAAGCAGAGAGGACTTGATGGCATTCTCTCAATTAAAGGCATGTCAAGAGACAGACCTCTATGAACCATCCCACAATCAGAGATAACCTTCCCCCATACTTCCGTTTTATTTTTATTTTTTTTGGAAGATCTGCGGAAGGCTATGCCGGTGATTCTTAGGTGGGATTGTCTGTTGTGTGTGTGTGTCGTGGGGGAGGGAGGGGTGGATAGTGAAGGAGTTTTTTTTTTTTTACATTTTTGTACTTTGATATTGTTTGAAATTTTATAAACAAGAATATGCAATGTATTTTTTGCATTAAAAATCAGAATTAAAACAAATACTAAGTGATATTATTTCTGAACCTGTTACATACAGAAGAAGGTAGGATCCCTATCTCTCCTTGTCAGAGGTATAACCCATCACAGAACAGAAAATTAAAGTAAAAATAAAAATACTCTGCCTGCACTAGCCTTTTGCCGTCTTTGGGTCTTTACTTTTTACTTCTTTTAATCAAAAGCAATTGTCAAAGGGCTCAGAGCCCCGAGCCAGAGACGGGAATAGCCCCCGGGGCTGCCCGAGGCCCGTCCACAGGGCACAGAAAGACCACAGCACCCAACGTTTAAAGTCAGGTGTTCTCCTGAATTTTAAATACTCTAAATTTCCCCCTTGCAATGATTTCAGGTAAAGGGAGTCGGAGGGAAATGAGAGGATTCTAAGATCACAAGGAGAGAACAGATGCGTGCAGCGAAGCCTCCAAAGGGCCAGCTGGGCTCCACAGTCTTGCTCTGAGTGGTAGTTTCAAAACACTAAGTAAGTCATGTGCATCACGAAGGCCAGGCTTTCCCACCAGCTGTCCTGCTGTGGCTTAAACCCCCCCGATTTCCTTATTAAGTGTTCTTTTATTTTAATACCTTGCACACCTAGTGCTTGTCCTCCACACTCAAGCATCAACATTGCCCGAGAGAAGGATGAAGGAAGCGAGACAGACTCACCGGGCGCTGAGGTGGCCACCCCCACCTGCCATCATCAGCCCTGGCCCTGCTGGGCCTAGGAGCTGCCCGACTCTCAGCCTTGTCCAGCATGGCTGCTGACTCTCAGCCTTGTCCAGCGTGGCTGCCGAGGCTGCCGACTCTCAGCTTGTCCAGTGTGGCTGCTGGGCCTAAGCAGGAAGTCTGTGAACTGACTCACCAAGAAAGCTCCGCCCAAATGGGAAAAAGAGAAGTGAAAGTATTGACTCAAAAGTGGGAGGGCTGCAGGACACTGTCTGTCTCCTCCTCCAACTCCAAGGCACTTTTCAGCTTTCATGGAATGTGGCAGCAGGGATCCAGGGGAAGGTCTCACCACCCAGGCCCTGAGGACCAGGGAAAAGGCAGCCCCCAAGGGAAGCCAGGCCAGCTCCAAGGAGCCCACTTGTTTGGGCAAAGGTAGAGGCCAAAAAAATCTATCTGAACCAAAAGGGTCCGCAGCTGCTTCTGCCTTCTAAGGGGTGGCCAGTGTGTATGGGGGGTGGGGGTGGGTGGTCTGTTACTGTTGCCCCTTCCCCTTGCCAAGATGGCTGTGTGGGAAAGAAGGGAAAGCCAGAAATTTTACTCCTTTGGCCCACAAGCTGCCAGCACACTGGTGAACCCTGACCAAAGTCAGTGTTTTGCTTTCAGACGCAGGCCTGGGAAGGGCCGCAGTGCCCTGCATTATCACCCAGGCAGGAGGGCCTTCGCATTTCTGGAAAGCAGCCAGGGTAAGAGAGAGCTCTCCCAGCCCCTGGCGCCAGAGGCTGGAACCAAGTAGTTTAAAGCATTTAAAAATACTAAACAAGTTGCAGAAATTGATGGCATAGAATGAATGTTTAAGAGAAGCTATGAGACTTCAAAGACTTTTGTGCACATGGCTGCAGGCAATGCCCCATGCCCTCCAGTCTCCTGTGGGTGGTCTTCACCTTTCTCTGCCATTAGGGCTTCTCTGATGCCACAAGGACTTGGGACTGAACTGCCTTAGCTTCACCCATCTGTTAACTGACTCAAGTCTCTGAAAGCTGTTTTTTGAGTATTGGCCAGAGTTCATAGTTATCTGTGAGTGGGTCAGTTGGTTGGGAGTTTTCTCATCTATATCAGAAGCAGAACTCACCAAGCATCCCTCCTAAGCAGCAGACCAGCCATGCCCACTCTCAGTAGCTCTGGAGCCCTGAGCCCTGACCATCCAAGGAAGATACGCTAACACGCCACACATCAAACCCAAAGTACAATTTTTTTTATTGTACTTTAGATGAAGTTTTACAGAACAAATAGATTCTCATTAAACAGTTAGTACACATATTGTTTTATGACAATGGTTAACAACCCCAGGACACGTCAACACTGTCCCTTCTCAACCTTGGGTTCCCTATTACCAGCTTTCCTGTCCCCTCCTGCCTTCTAGTCCTTGTCCCCAGACTATTGTGCCCAATTAGTCTTGTTTTGTTTTATGGGGCTGTCTAATCTTTGGCTGAAGGGTGAACCTCAGGAGTGACCTCATTACTGAACTAAAAGGGTGTCTGGGGGCCATAGTCTCAGGGTTTCTCCAGTCTCTGTCAGGTCAGTAAGTCTGGTCTTTTTTTGTGAGTTAGAATTTTGTTCTACGCTTTTCTTCAGCTCTGTCTGGGACCCTCTATTGTGATCCCTGTCAGGGCAGTCAGTGGTGGAAACCAGGCACCATCTAGTTTTACTGGACTCAGTCTGGTGGAGGCCATGGTAGTTGTGGTCCATTAGTCCTTTGGACTAATCTTTCCCTTGTATATCTTGTTTTCTTCATTCTCCCTTGCTCCCGAAGGGGTGAGACCAGTGGAGTGTCTTACATGGCTGCTCATAGGCTTTTAAGACCCCAGACACTACTCACCAAGGTAGAATGTAGAACATTTTCTTCGTAAACTATGTTATGCCAATTGAGTTAGATGTTCCCCGAGACCATGGTCCCCACAGCCCTCTGCCCAGCAATTCGGACCCTCAGGGAGTTTGGATGTGTCTATGGAGCTTCCATGACCTTTCCTTGTACAAGTTGTGCTGGCTTCCCCAGTATTGTGTACTGTCTT